TTGCGACGGATAATCCACGATTGCGGCGACCATATGCGACAAGCCCACTGAAAGCTGCGGTTGGGAGTCTTGGCGTTCTTTAGCTCCTTAAGCAGCACTGGCTCGCGTTCCTTCATAAAAGCCAGGTCGCGGGACAAGAAGTATGCTGTCTGATGCAGGTTATGCTGGGTGCACATTTTCAGAGCCTCCTCGTGGGCCGACCAGGCGCTTTTGTGCAGCCTGTTCTCCTCGGCGTGTCGCAGCTTGGAGCGCAACCAGGGAGCAACGCGCGACAGCACGGAATGGTCATTTGACAGACATTTCTGGTGGTCCTCCCGGGTGCGTTTAATATTTTGCTCCACCTTGTCCACCGCCTTATACATAATTACCACTGACTGAGCCTGCTGCACCAGGAGTTCCGGCACTCCGGCCCCTAGCTCCGCCAGCTTGACATTGGAGACAATGGAATTATAGACCCGCTGTAGATACTCCTTCATAACAGCCTCGTTTACTTCCTCTTCGATCTCCTTGTCGTTTAACTTCTTCGCCCGTAGCTCGGCAATCAAACGCTCGCGGAAATGCAGGAACCAGCCACGCGTTTCCCTCTCCAAAATGCCAATCAGAATTGGCAGAGCCTTGCGCATTATGTCGCGGCAAAACAGGCGCAAGTCGATCTCCTGTCCCTTGGGTGTGAGGAATAGATAGGGCACAGGCTGGCTGACCTCGCAGCTGTTAAAGTCAAACTTCTCCATGGTGGCGCGTCGCAGCATCTTACGGACATATGAGCACAGACCATCCAAGCAGTCCTCAAACTCGGGCTGAAAGACCAAATTTTAAAAAAATTTAAAATTTTGGATAAGTTAAACCAAAATAAAGGAGAATTTCACGTGAAGAAAATGAAGTGAATGGTTTTAAATAATAGACATCTAAAATTGTATTTAACGACAAACTTTAAAAGAATTTTTTTTCTAAAGTTTACACTGAAAAATTGATATAGATCTAAAAAGGCAATTCAAATTATTGTTATTAATTGATCTCTACATATTTAAATTGTTGTTTGAATCGTCAAGGAAAGATGGGAAATACATTTCTCAGCTTACCCGACAAACCAACTCGGCGATGAGGAATCGGCAACGCTCCTCCTTGATCTTATAGTCCAGGTTGTGGGCCAACAGAGCCGGCACGCCGATGAACATGTCCGCCAACTTGGTAAACGCTCCCAACAGGCCGTGCATAGCCTGTACCACGGAGAAGAAGTGCGAGAAGATCCGTGCGCGAGCTGTGACTACCACGAAACGGGCAGCCAGAGCCAGGTCGCTCAAAAAGGAGTCCTGGGCTCGAATCTTTCCCTTCTGCAGCAGTTGGGACAAACGCCACTTATGCACCTGACCAGGAAAATGCAAACTGGGTACATCGAACTCGCTGTGAAGGAGTAAAGATACAAATTAGCTATTGAGGTTCAAATTCTAAAAGATCAAGGCAACATAAAACACGTAAATGAACTAGATTCAATGAAAAATTGTAGGCATGCACAAGCGTGTACCAGATTCAGAATTATGGTTTGCCCGATTCTAAGTGAATTTATATGTTTACATGTTTGTTTAAAAATGTGAGAGTGATCTGGGGTATCTTTTAATTTCACTGGAAATACACCTAATTAGACACAAGAATACTTTCAAAAATGCTGCTTACATCAGCACTTTTAGTAAATAATGAAACATAATTGTCAAAAATATAAGCCTAATCTACACAAACAGGTTTTTCCTGGAGTATCTGTGTTTACCCTTTACTTTTTTTTATATGTCCCACAGATGTTCAACGTGCAGATTCGCTTTTGAACAATCGTTTAAATTTAACGAACATGCAAATTTATCAGAGCGGTTTTAGACAATGACTTAATATATAAACAATTAACATTGAGTAAATAATGATATTGTATGTACAAACGGAAGAACATTGACTAAACAGATTTGAATGCAGTGGCAGTAGTCTGCCTTGGCTTTTCTTGATCGCCTTTTTGATAGTGTTTATTTACCCATTTTTACGTATAGTTTCCAATTGTTCCAAAGTTAATTTCTTCGGCTTTCCATATTTATCCTTTTGCAAGCTTTACAGAAATATGTCACATACAAATTGTTGTTTACCGTTTCATGTTTCATTGGCAAGTGATACACAGAAATAAAAACACAATAGTAGTGGGACATGCATTTAGTTTGGTTAAGAAACAAATAAACAGATCACGATAACTGGTATCGAATTAATTTTTATATAGATTTGGAGCATGCCTTAATTTGATTTTGCGTTTGCTGGGTGCAAAGTGTCGCGAAATGATTGGTAATGGTTAAGGAACTCAATAAACGAAAGAAATCACTATTAGGTGTGGGGGAATGTGGCAAAAGCGCAGTTAATCAGCAAGCTGTTAACTGCCAGCTGCACAATAGCACTTTTTTCTTTTTTATCTGGCAATTGCAAGTCGCTTCATCCATCATCCGTCATCCACAATCCACTCATCCATCAATCTATCCATCATCGCAATGAGCAGGTCTCTGTCCCGTGACCGCAAACTCACCCAGTTTCCCGCAGAGTTTTTAGCTGGGCGCTCGTCAGCCTACGGGGCTCTCCACTTCCATCCGAGGCCACGGCGTCCAGCTCGTCAAAAGGAGGCGCTATAAAAAGGTCGCGCAAATTAATGGGACGCGTTTTGCGGCTGCTCACGCTGTTGGTCGCGTTCCTGGCCGTTAGATTCAGACCGCTACTGGCCAGCGCCTGGGGCAGAACTAAAAGGGGTTCGGTAAGTATCATGGACCACTGTAATCTTTACGGTGACTCACCAATGGGAAAACTCTTCCAGTGGTAGAGGAACTGCTCCGCCACGCTCTTAATCTGCTCCACAAGCTGTTCCACCTCGGGTGGAGCTCCCACGAGGTTGATGTTGAACTCGATGGGTTCCCGCTCGGGACCGGCCAGCGTTTGGGGGCGTAACATTTGGGTACCGGAGGCACTGACCGACAAAGTAGCCGGCACAGCAGTAGGCACCGGAACCGAGGCGGCCTGCATGGACATGGTCATGGTAATTGGGCTGCGCCGTTCACTCTAGTATTGCGTCCATTCCTGATTGAAATGAAATATTAAAAAAAAAACAAATGAACATTCGAGGGCTATAAAATACCTATTATTAATTAAGAAAAAAGAAGGAAGAAAGCATTGCCATTGGTTTTATATGGCATGTAGCCGATTAAGCAATGTTCGTCTGCCTGACCCTTCTGTTTGAGCACCTAAAAAAGCTAGATTTCCACAGATTTCACCTCACACATTTATTGTACTCATACTCAGATAAGGCTCCTTTTTAATTTCACTCTTAAATCACACCACATTAATAGTGGATAAATGTTTTCAAGTGGTGTTCGCTTGTGTAGAAAAAAACCAAATCATTAAATTCAGCTTTCAAACTATTTTTAAGAAATGTTTGGCATAATGGTTTATAAGATACTTTCAGTAAGCTGCATACAAATTGACGTTTTTTTTGGTTTGTTTGATCGGATACATAATACTCTTTTTAATTAAAATAGCACTACTAAGTTTACATTTTTCAGAGCCGACACACTTTGAAAGTATGTTTAGTATTATTAAATTGTGTTTACTTTATCTAAATATCTAATATGGTGTGTGTATCGCCAATTGAGATTGGCTTAGCCCAATTGGGACTAATATTTTATTTCAGTTCTTCTTAATTAATATTTTAGAAAAATCATCGCAGACAAATGGCGTCTGATATAGCTCATTAACAATAATGTAATTTAATGAAACTAAATCTATGGGATGCTTTTGAGGAGTGTCATAAGAATTGGCAGATTTCATTCTTGTTACTTTGATGGCTGACCGAGCTAATTGAAATGGCACAAGCGCGGGCAATATTAAAATTAATGATCTAATTGAAAATTCACTCGCGCATGTGTGATGGTGGGAATAGTTAGAATTCCATCGGATACAGACAGAGAGGGAGAAGGACAGAGGGTCCAGATGTAAACAAATATCCGCTGCATTGAATATTCTAGTTTCACGCACTAAGCAGATTCACTCAAGTTAACGCATTTTTCGAATTACCACTTAGCCGCAGGAGGGTGGAAACGAGTTTGTCATACTGTCTGGGAACTCGAGTTTCACCTGCCGCAGAGGCTCCTGCACATTTCAGCCACCTACCACAACTTACACCCAATTTCGCGCTTCGCTTGCGTTAATGGAGTCCCCAAATGCACCGTTCCACGCCCATGAGTAGACACTGTACTGAAGAGCCTCTGCCAGTTAACCAGCCCCACGCCCCTGCCCCAACATTTCTTATTGTTTAATTGCCGCACACACACACTTGCACACGAGACGAGACGCACACCTATACTGCGCACACAAGGCGTTCTGTGTTGTCGTTGTCGGTTTTGAGTTACAACTGCCTTTTACCTCGCTTCCAATATCAAATTCCCGGAGCTTCAGACTCTGAAAGCATCGTAGTGGCCAGTCGCGAGATCACAAATCAGTTTCTTTCCGTTTTTTACTTTATAGAGCAGACAAGTAAATACACATACGCTCTTTTCAATGCACCCCTGGGGCACACATCTGTTGGAGATGGGCTTGCTAACGACTATATACTATCGATACGTCGTACATATATCGATAGTTCCTTCATATATCGATGGTTCGACTTGCCAGGGTTGCAGTTGCAGGTGTAACGGTAATAATATTAATATTCACATTAATTTATATTTAAGGAAAGTTTTATACAAAATGATTATTCGAGGTATTAATTGCTTTTAAAGATACACAAATATTAATAAAATAGGAAAAATTCGCCTTTGGAACCTTCCAATAGAATGGGTCTAAAAACTAGACCAGTTTTCAAGATAAATCTCGAAGGCTTGAAGCTAGTTTGAAAATGGTAACCATATTTTTATTGAAAATAATTTTTCTAAGAAATCATTTTTAGCTTTACACTTCTATTGCTGGTGGACCTTGTAGGAATATAATATTTCCAGGGCAGGGCAGATTTATTCGGCTTTTCAAAGGTAGGAATCGCAAAAGCTTTATTAATATTGCAGCTGTGAACATTTCACATCTATTTTTCAGAAACTTTTTCCTTTAAAATTGTTATTTAAGTAAATAGTTAATGGGCTTTCTGCCATTATTGCTTGATGGAGGAACAAATCCATTTTTGTTAGGTGGCAAAACAAACAGATTGTTTGACTTTGGGAGTATTCCATTACTGGCTGGAGAGAAGGAATGCTTGGAAGTAGGCGGGATTAAATTGTTTCTAAATTGAGGCATCGGAACCTGCGCGGGTTGAGACACCACACAATCCACGGGTTTCCCAGTGATCGAATGCATATTTAAATGGGACATTGGACTGTATGATATCCGCGGTGGAACCTTGCCGGTTAGACCATTCGTGGGAGGAAAATTAGACCCAGATTGGGGAATATCGTTGGTTCGACGAACACCGTTGCTGGGCATCTGATTGGTAGAAATAAAAGCGGTTGGGTTCTTGTGGAGCTCGGAAGTTGTTTTAGCTTGCTGCATTCTGGACGCCTCTTCCGTCTCCGCCTTAGCTGCAGCCATCACCTCCACCTTGATGCGCTCTACAATAATGGATTCGCACAAGGACGGACCCAAAAATCCGTATGCGACGGCAAACTGCTCCGGGAGATCCGCCGCATCGGGAATGTTCTTTAGTACCTTGGTGCATATTTTCACAACACGGTGGCGAATGTACTTGGCGGCAAGCTTGTCTAGGCTGGAGCTGGAGCACCCGTTGACAGTCAGATGAGGCTCGATCCGTCCAGAAAGGTATGCTATTTGAGGCAAAATGCAAGACCGCACCACGTGATTGCCCATCTTTCCCAGGCCGATGACTGCCCCGAACACCGTCGTTAGTGGCTGCATGCAAAGAGCACTTTTGTAGATCCTGCAATGTAAATAGAAGTTAAGACTACAATATATGTACTAATGAGAGCAGTAGCGTATCCCGGATTTGGTGTAGAAGGTTTCAGAACGCATTTTTTGTAGCATGGGGAAGGGTTCCCCATAAGAAATAAAATAATTTTTAAACATTTTAAAATATTTTGAATTGAAAAAGTTTTATATATTGTTTATCAAAGTGCTCTTCTTTTTTGCACCAGATGTGGACAACTGGGAGTTCAGTTTTTTTTTTCAACTTAATTCGCTAAGTTATTTTAATTTAAAAAGTGATATATCATGCATACAATATTGAAATTCACTATTTTTTATGAAGCGCGATGATGTACTACTCCTAATTAGCGGTGTTCCACCCTACGACATACACGTGAGGAGAACTAAACATTTTAAGAATAGAATACAATGAATACTATGTATCCATTTACAAAGCTCAACCATTATATAGCCCTTATAATAGCCTAGATCAACCCGGATTCCGAGCCGACCAAGAATAAGTTAAGCCGCAAGCGAATCCTTGAATTTGAAAGATTATTTTAAAGTCAAGGAACCGACAGATATATGATATATGAAAAAGGAGTTCCGCTCTTGGAAAGTGGCAAAGGTAGCTATATTCTCAGTACTTGCCCAATAACTCTGGGCAGGATGCTGTTGTCGGCGGCGTCAAAGTGGCGCACGATCTGGGCCATGATGTTACCCGAGTACTCTCTCAAGGCCCAGTGATCCTCTAAGCCCGGGGATGGGCAGGCCTGTTTGGTCAGCAGGCAGGATAGAACAGCCGGCAGGATCTGGTGGAGCTACAACGCAACAGATGCATATGCATTCTTCAGCTGCTCTTATGCCACAGTGCCAAATACTCACATATTGTAACAAACTCAACCTAGAGTTTCCCAAAAGGGCTCTGACCATGCGCATCAGATAGAGGAGCAGTGATAAGTTCTGCTGGGTCACGTTGACGACCACCGAGTCCGCGATGAACTCGCTCAACGTGGGCAGCAGCACCTCTAGCGAGGGATCTGTGGAGAGGGTTTGGAGCGCCCGCTGGCGCCGTGACTCTGAGGACCCCACGCAGGCCTCGGTGATCAGCTCGTAAAAGGACTGCTGCTCCTTGGTCAACGGATAGCGTTTGCAGTCCTTCAGCAGCACCTGCTCCAGTTTTAGCCATCCCGAATGGAGGGAGGGAGCCGGCTCCAGAGAAATCTCCGCTTGGGATTCCAGGTCGGAAAAAAGCTGCACGGTGCAAGGTTCGGAGGTTGGAGCTCCGATCGCGGTGCGACCCTTTACCGCAAGCGGCCGTGAGAAATCTTCGCGAAGAATCAGTCTAAAGAACACATCCGTGGGCAGGTTATCGTCCATCCGGACGGCTTGCTGGACGTGCGACAGACACACCTGGTGATCCCGGATGCGCCGCATGTATTTGCCCGCCTCGTTTAGAAGGTTTTTAATGTCCTCCTTGAGATTGAGGGACAGCCACTGGGACACTCCGTCGCCGAGCTCCCGACCTGTGCTGTGCAGCGATATCGCAGCCAGTGAACGCCGCGAAAAGGTCTTTTTGCGAAAACCCTCGTCCTTAGCGTGCACTTCATTGTTCGAGGCTTTCATTTCAGTTGTCTTTTTGTTTTCAAACTGCCACATTCTGCCACTAGAGATGGCAGCGGTTCGATTGGCGATGTCAGGTTGAAACTAAACTTCCTTTTGCCAATCGAAATTTTAAATATATTGAAAACAATTGAAAGTACCAGTTAAAAGGTAACAAAGGCGCCTCATTTATTTTTTTGAATGTTAAATCAATGGCACAGCACGCCACAGTCAAAACTTACCAGAACGATATTACCTCCCAACCGCAGAGCCCTAGCTTCCAATTCCATTTTCTTAACAATTTTTAGTTTCCCATTTAACCAAAGAAAAGCTTACCAACTCACTGAAATTAAGAATTTAGATCTATGAGGGAAACTACACACCCTTCTAAAGGTCTAAGTCTTATCACCAATCAAACCTTTCCATTTAACTAAGCTAGTTAGTAAAGTCCTTTTAAGGAAAAGCATCCACACCTTGTCTTCTAAGACTATCCTTAAAGCTTATCGCCTTACTTTTTGGATTTATTTCACTTTTACTACATAATAAATCGCGTTTTTTACCGGTTTTTTTTTTGTATTATTTTTTAATTGCTGGGAGAACCTGTGATCAACTCACGTCGAGCTCCCTTTGAGTACTGGAAGACTACGATTTAAACAACAAAAAAGGACTAAGACTTTGACATTAATGTCAAGTGAAATTGTGATAAAAGCGTAGTACGAAGGCGTCTGGAAAAAATATAAAACTATTCTGCACAAAAACATATTTTTTTGCAGGAAATACAAAAGTCGAAAGGACCATATCATAAAGCGGATATGAAAAAGATAGTACAATTTATAGATATATATAATATATATAACTTAAGTCTCGAGATATAGTCGTTTAATGGAGGTCAATAATATGTTTTCAGTTAAAAAAAATTGTTTTACTCTGGAAAAATCGTGATAGCTTCTTTGTTTATCAATATAATTAAGAGATATTAAAATAACTATGACACATTAATTCACTTTTCTTAGTTGTTAGTGCAAGGGTAAATAAACTTTGGCTTGTTATTTTATTATATTGTGTAGATTTTGGTTTGCCCAAAACTTTTGTATGATTTATGATTACTTTAAAACTTGCATCAAATTTTTCAGTTTTACATTTTTTTAATTCTGGTTTTTAGATTCAAAATTTTTATTTCCTAAAAAAAAATTTAAAATACCTAATTTTATTTTTTATAATAATTGTTTTCCTAGTTCGCATAGTTACTCCTATGTACCTGTGCAATCAAAAATATAATAATGGGTTTGTTCAGGAAACTTATTTAATTAAACTCAATGTGAAAACAAGCTTTTAAATTGTGATTGGATTAGTAATTCAAGCGATAAGCCCAAAGTTGGTAGAGAATCAGGCCGAGCATCAGCACCACAACTAGCGTCCTTCCCACTCGGTGCAGTCAGGAGCGTAGATCCGTGAGCGGCACGTACATAACGCCCATGAGACGAGTCATCTCCACCTTCCCATTGGCGTCCTTGTCGTACTGTGGAGAACGATTTCTTTAAATTACTGGAGTTAATAGTGAACAGCAGATCCTTGCCCACCTGCTGCATGTACTGAGAGCCGCCATCGGGTCCGACGGGAACTATGAGGCGCCCACCGTTTGCCAGTTGATTTATCAGTTCGGTAGGCGTGTCCGGAGCTGCAGCTCCCACATGGATGGCGTTATAGGGGGCACTGGCGGGGTATCCCTTGCGCCCATCGCCCTCCACGATCAGCAAATGACCAGAGTCGAGCATGCTGCGGTCGTCGGTGTTCAAGTTGGCCTTGCTAAGCCGCACCAAATCCGCCTGGTGCTCGATGCCCACGATGCGGGTCTCTGCATCGACGCCCTTAGCCTTGATGTAACGATAGAAGCAGGCCGTCAGGTATCCTGATCCAGAGCCCACGTCCAGCACATGGGCACCGGGCTTCAGTTGGTCCCGCAGATACTCCAAGGCAAAGGCATGCTGGAGATTGAGACAGAGAAGCTATTGAACAATAATCCTTTAAGGTTTTCTAAACAACCCTGTTAAATTATGTTCTTGTGAAATTCGATCAAACTATCTGCATGGAATAGAATTAGAATTTCCCTAACCAATTTACCTTAAATCTCCAATCGAATTTAAGTAAAAACAATAGAATAAAACATTCTGTGCGCAAGAGTAACAATTATGCTAAAAGGTCTATTCGATTCATTGATTTTGAAATATAATTTATGACACAAACTAGTGATTTTTAGCCCAGGCCTCTTAAGTTACCATATGAGGTGCACTGATGGTGACACCTCCTCCGATTGGTTGCGGGGCGTCCATGTAGGGGTTCCGCGGAGAGTAGTGCTTGCGGTCGGTCTCCTTCATCGCCTTGGCCACCGCATCACTGGCTATGACACCGTGATCTTTGGGGTTTCGGTTCTATTATTATCTCTTACCGCTGGGCAAACATGTAGAACGGCTCACCCTTCAGTTGTCGTATCAGGTCCTCATTATTGGCTCCCACGGAACGCCACGCCATGCTGAAGGCGCGGACGAACAGGCCCAGCTTAATAAGTCCCAAAATAAATAGGTTATTTTTCAACGTTTTGACTTTGTATTGTTTTTGTTTTAACAAGAGATGAAAGAAATTCGATAACGATGAAATTGGCGAGGCAACATTAAATCATACACCGATTAAAATATCGCTTGCCTGAATTTTAGAGTAAAACTTCATTTATATCCAAAGCATATCCCAGCGGATCGGGATGTGTTTTTGACAAATAGAAAACTCCGAAACTGAGCATTATTCAAGAGACACGAGGGGTAAAGGTTATTTTGACTACATCACAACAAACATATTTCTAAGCTATTTTTATTTTATGTCCTGAGATAAAGGTTTATACATTTCAAAAATTGAAAAGAATTTCTTGACCTCCCACATACCTTCCCACTGCCTCTGGTTTATACCCAAATCTCACAGAGCACACCCCAGTGGAACGGCTGGAATTTTAGACATGTGAAGCTCGTGCTTCTACTGAGCCTTTGGGGGGCCTTTTAACTATATCAAACTGTTTTAAAAATATTATCAAATACTATGAGTAAATAATTATACATTTATCTGAACTTTGAACATGAGTTTTACATCAGTCGATAAACCCAATCCCTCTAGAATTATTCCTCAAATGGTTGGAACCAAAGACCAATATAAGAATATATTGGTCTTTAATGGAACTGTGGAAATTGGATATTGCACTGGGGCTGAGTCTTTGGGTTGTTGAGTGTCCTAAAAACACACATCCTGATTAACTTATGACCGGCTTTTACCTCTTCAGAATAGAACACCTGTTCCCGCTTTTTGGGATCTTAAAAAAAAATTTTAAAATACACGAAAACAAGGTCCATCTTTGTGTACCGTGCTCAACAAAAATACAAAAAAAAAGGGGAAAAAATAAAGTGACTTTGTTACGTCATTACAAAACTCTTACCTCTTCGTCTATGCCATGTTGAGCTTGCCGGATCAACGGCGGAATTCCAAAGTAGCCCTTTTAATATCACCATCAATAAGCAGTCCACAAAAACAGCTTAACTGGGAATGCGGGAAAACATGGATTTTATATTTCCCATTTCAAAGCTAGATTGTTGTCAAATGAAAATTTTCATATTAGGACCTTTATTACGATTGAAACTAAAGCCGAAAGCCCAATAGGTAAATCACAATGTTGTTCAGACTTCACAGAGAAGTCATCTTAGTGTGAACAGGGCTTAATGGATTTAATATTTTGTTTTGGATTTCGAGCTCGATCATTCATTGTTTAGTGTGGCCTTGCCTTGGGCAAAAAATATTTAGTAGTTTTCCAACACTGAAACCGTCCTTGCGATCCGTTTCGCGTTTTCGTCGAGTTACTAGTAAACAAGATGTCCAATGTCGGAAAAATAAAGATAAAAACATTCGCAGAACTGCAGGCTACCACGGGCATAAATGTGGAGCCCGAACCTACGCCAATCAGAGAAGTCAGAACGCCAGAAAAAAAAAGAGCGGGAAAAACTCGTGCGGCTACCACAACAAAGAAATTCCAGTCTAAATCGGAGATAAACAATGCCGAAATCATACCCAGCACTGTGGCTAAGCGTTCCAGCAAGAAGACGCCGCTGCAAGGGCAAATGCGAATCGATTCATTCTTCAAAAGCGCCGCCAAGAGCTACAAAGTCAACATGGTGCCAGTGCCCCAGTCATCCGCTAAGGCTGTGAATCCCCCAGTGGCCAAGGGAAAGGGAAACTCTAGGGGACGCAAACGGCTGTTTGACGAGTCCACCACCGCATCCACAACGTCCACGGATACTCTAAATTTAAAGCCGCCCGAGAAGAGAGTACAACCTGGTCGCTTAGTGAAGGGCAAGGAGAACACAAGCCTCCCTGAAGCGGATGTGATTGACCTATGCTCCGAGGACGAGGGCGATCGGACCATCATGGAGAAGTCCCTAGCGACCACCTACCATAGTTCAACAGGGAATTCTATACCAGCAGCGAGGCTCAGAAGTTCTAAGTGCTCCCCGAGCAGTCCAGTTACACTGAAAACTTCCCCTCGGTCCATAAGACCCTCAGCGGCATCCTCTCTAAAGCGATCAATGGGTACAATCCCAAAAGAAAGCCCCCAGGTCCAAAATTCAAACAGAGGTACTGGACGAAAAAAAAAGACTCCAAAGCCGTGCCCGCCTTATAAAGTCGTAGAGGGAACATCTTTCTGTGTCGACGGCTTTCAGTTTGGCGATATAAATGGAGTCACACATTACTTCCTAACCCACTACCATGCAGATCACTACATAGGCCTGAACAAAAAGTTCTGCTACTCCCTATTCATGAGTCCCATTACTGCGCGCTTGGTGCGAACCTTTATCAAGGTCGACGAGGTGTGCATCAACGAGATTGAAGTGGACCAGACTCTAATGGTGGATGACGTTCAAGTGACCGCCTTGGAAGCAAATCAGTAGGGGAAATAATTTTACAAACTTGTTGTTTACTAATCTTTCTGTTTACTCTATGCAGCTGTCCCGGGGCACTAATGTTTTATTTTCAATTGAGCTCTGGCAAAAGCATTCTGCACACTGGAGACTTTCGAGCCTGCGCCGAAATGGAATCCCTGCCGATCTTCTGGAACCACACAAACCTCGATCTGCTCTACCTGGACACGACCTACATGAACAAGAACTACGACTTTTGCCACCAAACCGAGAGCGTCGATCGAGCGGTAGAGTTAGTGCGGGCCTTCATTGAGAGAAATCCGGCCAAGCGAATCCTCATCGTCTGCGGCTCTTATGTGATAGGAAAGGAGAAAATCTGGCTGGCCCTGGCGAAAGAGTTCACACTGAAAGTCTGGACGGAGACAACTCGCAGCACGGCAGTCAAATGCCTCAACTGGCCAGATTTGGAATTCGTGTTAACAGACGATCCCCGCGCAGCAAACTTGCACGTTCTTAGTATGGGAAAAATCAGCTATCCGGTAGGTTTGGAAATATTCATCTCGGTGTTTAACAGATTTCTTTGACTAACAATATCTCAAGACATTTTTTAAGGTTGTGTCCACATAATTTTACTGTTAAATTATGTTAGTAAAAAATTGTCTTGAGAAATCTGACCGCTTATTTAATTCGATAAGGAAACCTTTCTAGACAGATTGATATACAAATACAGCTTAAAAAATTCTAATCGTTTTTTTTTCAGAGTCTGGTTGAATATTTCAGTCTATTCGAGGACCAATACGATATGTTGTTGGGCATAAGACCCAGTGGATGGGAAAAAAATAGCAAGCCCTCATATGGAAAGCGAATCAGCACGATTGGCATTGAGTACTCGGAACACTCCAGCTACAAAGAGTTGGAGCGTTTCGTTCGCTTCCTTAAGCCCAAGAGAGTCATAAGCACAGTTCCCGTGGGTCGAGATCTCTTTGTCACTGGAGATGTACCTACCCAGTGGTACAAGTACGAAGGACGGGCCTCTATGCTGAGTACAGGGTATCAGCCATCGATTTCCTCTTTTCTAGCCACGCCAAAATTTATTTTTCCAAAAATGAGCTTAGAGAGTTCAATGTCTTTAAGTCCTGAGGATGAGAATGCTTCTCATGGGAACGGGGATGGAGAGGATGACTGGCAAACGGCCGTGCCAGCGGACCATATAACTATTTTATCCAGCACCACAGAAAAGGATATTAATCAAGATTCTGAAATAGTCATTAAAAACGAACCCCTGGGACCAGAAACCTGCCCAGAATCTGAAATAATCATTGCAAACGAACCCTTAGAACCAGAAATGTCTTATGATATTGAAATAGAAATTAAAAACGAAGCCTTGCCACCAGACACGTGCCCTGTTGCCGAGCCGGTTGCTATACCCACGGAACATAATGAATCCCATGATAGTCCTGGGAAATCAAAGGATTCTGGAGGCCCTTGTACCATCGATGGCCAGGAGATCGGCGAGCAAATTAAAAATAATGGCAGCCCATGTAGGGTTGTCTTGGTTAGTAGACTGACGTCCGATGCCTCCGATGATTGGCTCTTTTAAGGATTCCATTAATGCTCAACCGTTGAATGTTAAATGTTAAGAGTTCATAAGGATAATGTGTAGATGCTAAATGCCTTAAGTTATTTTGTTATTAAGTAATAAGCTCAGGGATTTATATGTTCCATAACGATCTGTTCAAAGGTTATAATAATAATAATGTTTTGATGTTAATATAAGGCTTGCCTTTAACATATAAACAATTTTTTATATACTATATATATATATGTATTTTTGCTTGATTTATATACTTTCACATTACTAAGATACCTTTCTTCATAAACTCCAACTAGTTTGGGGCAGGATGCTCCGTACATTATAAATAAATTAAATGACAGTTTTTAAAAGGAAACCATTAAATATATGTTAATGTAAACAACAATAGGCATCCATACATGAGTAAGTTTAACTAATTCAATGATGCTTCGAGTGCTAACGAATGTAAATGAGTTTTGATTATTCCAATAATAAGTAATAGTTAAATGATAAAGAAACTAAAAGTATAAACCGGTTGAGCGTTTGTTTTCAAAATAACCTCACTGAATTCACTCTTCAGGATCTTTCGATTTCATCTTATTTTATGCACAAACAATTGACTATACAAACACATGACAAACATATATAACCTTGGGTAAGCCAAACCGTATGACTTGGTTCTTTTGGCCATAAGAAAACTAACATTTAACAAAAACATTTCTGGGCTCCTCGCCGACAGCAACTGACTACGATTTAGAAATATACTAGAAAACAACGAGGCGCATATACATGATGATGATGAGGCGGCAGGTCCGGACTGCACGTTTTGGTTTTTGGTGGGGTAAGCAAGGGCTCCTCCATGGCCATTTAGCTGAAAATGGACAAAAGTTAGAGAGTAACCTAACTATTTTATTATTAGATGGGTAATTTTACCACCAAGAGAAGAAAGGGCTCTTGTTTTGGAAGCGCTGCGTAAATGAAAAGAAACGACTGCCGCTGGATCTGTAAAGAAACCGATAGATAAGAGAAGGTATTTAGTAGACAATTTGAATAAACTTTAATATTCCGTTCATGGTAAGACAAGGAAAAATAAATCATTTATAGTAGTACAGGCAGAACAGGGCTTAGTATGTATTGCAAAAAACGATTGCTCTTTTGATTTAGTGGCAGTTCTTAGAATTCTAAAAATTCATTAAAATATCAGACTTTTTTGAAAACAAATTAAATAATTGAAACAAATTAAATTTTTTGGTAATATAACTTGCAATTAAGAGTCTTGACTACTTGTAAAACAGAGACAATCATTCTAAGCTGTTAAACCCTAGTATTTAACAATCGTGGAATACTCACCGCTCCACAATAACGGCTGGCATTTGAACCAATTGCACTGGTGACTTGCCATCCCTCAGTGCCTGAGTGAGATTGAGGATCTGGCCCCGCATCACGGACATCTGTCGCTCGAACAGACGCTTGTCAAAGCCGCGATCCTGCTGGAACAGATACAACAACTCCGTGCAAATCTCCTCTACAAAGTTCATATCTGATAACTGGGGGAGGACATGGTCCTTGATTTCGTCGCTAAAGGGGATCTTCGCTTGTGGCAACCAAGCCCAATGGTAGGGATAGGCTCGCCATGAGTCCGGATGCTTGAATGGAAAGGCCAGGCCGTTGTCGATGGCAGCGATTCGGATAAAGGCTGAGTTCACCACATTCCATTCGGGCTCCGACGTTGGGGATCTCGAGGAGGGCTCATCTTCGCTGCTGGCCAGGCTGCTGCTGTCCTGCTGCCCATTTGTGGCTGCTTCTCCCGCCGGATGATTTCTTAAGACACCATCGGCCTTTACATTCCGATTACCCTGCTGCTCGTTTAGATCAACGATTTCCGAAGCACCGGGCAATTTGGGACGCACTACACCATGCATAGTCCGGCCCCCGGTGCCGCCCACCTGGCCCGTGACCTTTGGGGCAATGTACTTTATTAACCAATTATCGTTGCCTCGGTCCGTGTTGCGAATGATATAGTCAAGGACAACAAGGCGCTCAAACTGCAACTGAAAGGACTTGGCCACCGACGGCGGCAAAGGTTCGCTGTCGAAACGACGCAGCCAGTAGTCTGCATCCTTGTAGCCCTCCACGAAGAGCTGGAAGGAGCCAGTCTGCAAAGAATTTCGAATGTTGAAAAAACTTATTGCATTATTTTCTGAGATTTTGATTACCTTCAGGGGAAGGCTCATCCTGTTGAAGTGGGCCGATGGATAGTGCTCCTTGATACGCTTCTTCAGCTTAGCCTTTTGGCGATCAATGCGGGCGTAGTTAAAGCTTTCGGCCACCAGTCTAACCACACGCGTCTTTGGAACCACATTCAGATTAAGCTTTCGATCGACCAAGCTTGCACCTGATTCGGAAAGGTACCTGAATAATAATATAATAATAAAATTAATTAGTGAGCCCAAGCTAGCAGAATTAATGTTCAATTTTCTGATAAAGTAATAAGCGGCGAAATAACATAAATATGTCGTATAAATTAGGATTATGCCAATAAAAGTAATCTTTAATTTTGTGTTCAATATATCATATAATGAAAGTGCTTTCATATTTGTAGTTTAATTTATTAAATTTGAATTTAAAGCTTTTCAGTAAAACAACAGTCACATTTTTCCAAAAAAACAAAAATATGTATAATTACAAGATCTTTTCTAAGTCGTTTTACTACTTTGTATATTTAATTGAAGGTTACATATTGACTTAGGACACTTTTCAAGATTTCACATGAATTAATACATTAATTTTTGTCGTCACCATTTTTAAGCATAATCCACTTTTGTATTTGTTATTAAAATTATTTACGGAAACATAATATTAGTGGCTTACCCCTGATTGGGAATCAAACAAGCACGACCAAAACAACAAGGGCAGCACAGCTTATGCATCCATTTGGTCCATTTTGGATTCAGTCTGCCATAGGGTTCCTCATCCTTTGGCTTGAAAACAGCAAGACATTGCTAAACGGAGAAAATTTATTATTAAAACTTATGGAACCGATTTACCATTTTTATCACAATAAATGGACTGTTGCAGGATAACCCAAAAGATCTGCAAAAACATCATAATTGCAAAACTTCCCCGATTTCCTGATATATTTATCTTTGCGCGGATAGATAACGAAATGGAAATTTTAGGTCTACAACTTTAAGACCAAACTTCTACAATGCGCATGAAAGGCTGGAAGATTTCCGCCAGCATTTATACTCACATGGGAGGCATCCTTGACGAAATAGGAACCACTGCTACCCTGGTAAATGCGCTCGGGCAGCACACCATGCTCGATGGCTCCCTCCGCCTTCGCCACAATCTCCGAGAAAAGCGGATCATCTGTAAGTATAAAAGAATATCGTATTGAAATAAAGTTTTATTCGGGCTCAAGCTTAAAATTACTAATAAAGTTCGTGCGAAGGACAAAGATTCGCATGCCTTAGCCTCAAACAAAGTACAAAGACAGACTGCGAGTTTCTCATACAAATTGGACAATTTTGCTTTGGAATTGTATTCTCAATAATTTATTAATACGCCAACAGGCGTGTAAATGCCTTTAATGAGTCGGCAATGCCTGACCAGCTGTTGTGTAAAATTAACTTTAACGAGCCCACACGAAACACAAATGAAACGCAAGGGACTAAAACATATAGAAGTTACTCAATGCTACCGATACCTATGAAGTCAAAATTGTCGTTGAAATCACCCTGCGAGTCCTGGCAAATGGTGAACACTTGCTGGATAAAGTTTTCACGACTGCTGCTCGACAACCGCGACATGGAGACACAATCGAATTAAATGCGCTGTGAAGTCAAATGCCGTCAACTCAGTTGGCAGTTGATAATGGGGAAGCAGGTCACAATTAGCATAGCCAAAGCGTTTCGATAAGGGCCAAACACACTTACAGATGTTCTTCAGCGGACAGTTGGCACAATTGCATCGCGGAGCCACAATCTTGACGGTGACTGTGTCTTTGGAATCCCGCGCCATCGACGGTGAGTTGACCAGGAAGGGAGGATCCCCCTCCAACTCCGACTGGGTCTCGAGGTAGTCCTTCTCCAACTGGCACTTGCCCTCGCAGCAAATGCAGGCGTAAGGCGCGGAGGCGGAAGCCACTGAGGACCTGCTCTCCTGCGCACCATTGCTCGTCGTAGGCTGCTCATTGTCACTCGGTTTGGAAGAAGTTGCGACTAAGTTTGGACCTGACAATGGCTCCTTGTTATCCTTAGCTATCTTAAGGTTGGCCTTCGCCATGGGGCTATGTCCAATTGGCGACAGTTGCCAACAGAACAAGTTCCATCTTTAAAAACGCCGGCCTTGAAATTTGTAAAGTTCTGTTCAACTGATTGTAAACCAGAGCAGCAAGGGACCACGATAACATCCAACTGAACCAACATTTACAACACAAAATTTTTTGTTTTAGATCTAATAGAAACCGCACAACTATACAAAATAATATGAAAGTTGGGGCAATGACGATAAGCTTTACAGCAGTTGACGAACAACGGGAGAGCTCTGTTCAGTTGATTGTGTAGGTCCAAAAGGTTACTACTACATTCCTCCTGATATAAACATTCCATTCCAGTAACGAATGTAAGCAATTGGGACTGCCTTAAATCAAATGCAAAATACTCGTTTTGAAATACAAAGCAACGGGATTGTAAGCTATTACTCATCACATGATGAAATGCGGTAGGGCGAGTCGTCTTTGCAACACATGTCACCGAAAATGATTCAAGATCGCGCCAATACCACAATAGCACAAAATGTTGTAAAAACATCTAGTTAATCAAAAAAAATTAGGCTAGTATCATAAAAACAATGAGGTTTTTAAAATATCCATCGTTTTATTGACAGCCAGAGGACCTATTCGTTAATTGTAAATTAAGCCTTAAATTCTTTATAAACATTATTTTGTTAAAATAAATTAGGTATTAAGTGCAATTCGTCACTACGTCTACTGCCGTCCACAATGATTGTACATTTATGGTTTCTATAAGAGGATATGATAAAGTCGTAGTACCCGATAAATTGATTCACATTTAAAAATGCGAAAAGACGTTCAGTTTGACAGATTGAGCCGGTAATAAGGATATTGTCAGTCGATTTTGATAAATCAAAATTTGAAACTTCTTATTGCAGCTTAAAGATATTGTTGGCCGATATGCAACTAAATCAGCATTAATATACAAGTTACAAGCTTTTGAGTAAAATTATTATTATTATTATTACGATACGAAAGAAGTTTTATGTCGGTAGGAGGTTTGGAACTAGTGAGACCTTGTTAGGGTTGAAAGTCTTGATCAATGTTCAATTGTATTGATTATAATTATAATTTTACATATACTAGTATTTATAAATGATTTACTTATATAAGCAAAGTTGAGTAAATAATAAAAAACTGCAATCAACTTCTGTCTATGTATCATAAAATTTAAATATAAGGGCTTAACAATCTCGAATATTCTAGTCTTGGTAAATATCTGCACGTTCTGCCGGATATGAACTTAGCCCATTTACGTTAAGGGCGGTTATGGTTCAAAATCTTTAAAACTGTCTTTATGGTAAACTGTTATGTTAAACTATTAAATTAGCTAAATTTGATTGTTTTCGACAGTTTTTTTTTTACAAAAAACACCATAAAATTAAACTTGTTTTCATTTGAACTATTAAGCTTTGTAATCGAACTATTTTTTGAAGCTGCACATTTTAGAAGGTGAAATAAATAAAAAATTGGACTTGTATGCAATTACAGGTGGAAGTTCTGTCTGACCTCATTTTTCTCTAGATCTATATTATTAATCTTTCTTCCACATTTGTATAGTATATTGAACAAAAATAATAATAAAATATATTTTTTATCGGGGTGAACGGGAGGCCCCCTGTAAGCAAAATCTAATTCGAATTAGCGCTTCTATTACTCAGAATATGGGGGCGGCCAAAGCGATAAGTATTACATAAATAAAGCCTCAAAGCAAACAGGAGCAATCTAGTTTGAGTGCACACATGGCAATGAAGGGATGGGGAATACAGAGTTTTAAGCCGCACATATGGTAACTTGTACGACTTCGTTAGACTGATGCACACTCACCGCCAAATGTGTTCGACACAAACTCCACATGATCGTGCCCGCGTCCGAGCCCACCCAAAAGGTCGCTGATGCGGCTTCCGTGGCTGGCACTGCCACCTCCCAGGAGCGGCTGCGACTCCCGGTTGTCGCTGCCTGCGTCCGTAGACATGCCCTCGAAGTCGATTTCTGGCACCAGGCAGATGTCGTCAGCCTCGTCATGCGAATGACGGGCGAGGGCAATGTGCGAAGTGGTTTTCAGCGGAGATGCCGCTGTCGATGCAGATGTGGCTGCCTTCGTGGGTGCTATGTGACTGATGATCTGTGCCTGCTGGCTGCTGCCTTCAATGCTCTCATCAGCGCGACCTTTGAATCTCTGGTTGCGCAGGTTTGAGCTCCTCTTCAGCAACACTTCTTCCTCGCCATCTTCGTCGTCGCCGTCGTCGGTGTGGTCGTCGTGGAGTATGACCAACTTATCCAGTTGCGGTTTCTGAAGCACGGCATCGCCCCCGGCACTCTCCTCCCCTGGAGGCAGGCCGTTGGTGTGGTTCTTCTCCTCTGTCACCTCCTCCTCGTACTCGTCATCATCGACCGACAGTAACATGGGTTCCCGCCCCTTTCTGCCTCGCCTTCTGGTCTTCCGTTTGCCCATTCCAATGGTGTTGATCTATGGAAAGAGCACACATATTACAAAGGATTGTGGTGAAGAGATGAGCGCACCCACCTCTACTTTTGTGGTCAACTGGTTAGTCGTCGATTCGAAGCCATTCAGGAGCGGGGCCAGCTGGCTGCTGGCTGGCGTTTGGTTCTTGACAAAGTCGCCGATGAGGTCCTCCTCGTCTTCAAGCTGTAGCAGCGGGGGATCCGCCTGATCCCGTGCACCGCTCATGCCCAATGCGGGTTATAGGCACGTATAGGTGTGGGTGTGGAATTGGAGGGCGTGGAAGGTGCTTTTCCCCAGATCCGTGGCAGTCACAACAACAAAGGCCCGCGCTGTGCTGCAGCTTCTTCTTACGCTTCTATCTGTCACTTTTCGGGCGTCGGTTTGCTTTCTGTTATCTGCTCCTCCGATCTTCCCCTGCTTGCATGCTCACCTCTACTGTTTTTATATTATTCGGGCTAGAATTTGATTACATTTCTTGTTAATTGCTTCAATTTTATGCTTGTATTTCGTTTGGAAATTATCGATTTTTGGTTTCAATCCTCTGCTCCTGCCAGCGTTCAAAATGGTAAAGGAACACGTCTGGAAACAGCTGGTGTCTCAAAAAACGACGAAAAAGGGACTTACCATGAAAAATAACAATAACAAAAATAACTAGCGAATTACGCGTTTGACTTTATTTTTCGCCAAGAACACGAAGCGAAAATGGTTGACAATCCAAACAGCTGACGAGTAGAATGCACGGCGCTACCCACTTGGGAGTTCTGTTCTCTCTAAGTGGCAGCGCCAGACATGAGAGCGCAGAAAACTTTAACCCCAAGTAGCCGGAATTTTGTTTCAAAAAAATATTTGTATCGATTTGAGATACAAATAGTGAAATTCGTAAAACAAATTTAACACAAATCAAGTATGCAAGAATTTAATTAAACATATTGGCTTATAAAAACTCTATTTAAAAACTTTAAAAATTATTTTAACTTTTTGATAAATTAACGATACTCCTGAAAAAAAATTTTAAAAACTTTTGTGTTTTGGAAAAAAAAAATAATTTGTGATAATTTTTATTTTTTGTGCTCATTTTGACATACGTACATATATATTTTGACCAGTCTCTTATCTTAAGAGTCGTTTTATAGACCTATACAAAAAAATCGTATTTTTTTTTATTAAAAACATTTTCTTGAGCAAACGATTGTTTTGTTATTTTTAAACCAAAGGAAAATAGAAATATAGTTGATTTATAGAAAATTTTATGATTCTTCCGATTTAATAAATTAAGTTATGCCATGCAAGCAAGCAGCATTAAACTGATTTATTCCTAGGGTAAGGCAATGTTGTCTAGCCATGATGATTTTTAATGTTTTCATTATTAATAATAGGTAAAGTTTAATATGTTTTGGAATATTTTGGTAAACGTTGTCTGTACCGAGCATACCATGGCATTCATTGTAGGACCATTTTACCATTCTCCTAGTACTTAGGCACTTGACTAAATACATCATTACGGTTTCAATTCTACTTTATTCTTAATTATTGTATGGATTTCGGGTAGGTAATTAATAACTAGTTTAGCAGGGCAATCTGACGCAATTTAGCGATCCAATCCAAAGCTTCTCCCAGCTGTCGCTGTAAATTTGTGCTTTCCGCCACAAGTTCGATGCAATCCTTAAACTTGGACACGGCATGGCGCAAACTCATGGGCGGCAGAACCCTAAAAAAAAGAAAGCGCATTTATCACAATGACCCATTTAAGCGTTATCAGTACTCACGAGAACCAGTGCAGGGGCTCCACATAGCCCTTGGATTTGTCCACCGCCTGCCTCTCGACGCATATGCCATCTTCGGAGTCCACAACCCGGCAGAGAGCATTGAACTCGGCACTGTTCTCAGTGGGAATCTGAGCCGTGGACACCGAGTTACTGCCTCCGTGCTGGAACCGAGTGCGAGCCAGGAGAATCGCCCCACTTGCATTGCTCCGTTCCAGATTAACGCGGCACTGGGTGTGCTCCTCGATTAGGTGGAACATGTCCAGGTACAAGTTATCCAGCAGCTGGCCAGCAGCCTCTTTTTCACTTGTTCCGGCGGTCATTTTGGCTAATAAATTTATATATCCCTTGCGGCGACCGAGATTTTTCTATCATATGATTCCACCAACAACCCTGTTTTAAGCAATGTTCTACTCCGAGTTGGCAGCTCTGCCGATAACTATAGTTATCGCAGGGCGAATTTGCAAATTTACAACCGAAACGAAACGGCAGAAAGATGAGTATTTCTGTCGCGTGGACACGTTTGAAATGCAAAGAGTTGTAATTGCTGCCGCCACGAACATGGTTAATTAACAGGTAAACTTGCCAAACAGCCCACAAACTGCAAACTCTAGTGGAATGGAATTTGACTAACAAAAAGGGCAAACAGCTGTTGTTGTTTTCTGGTGTTTTGTGAAGGGGGGAGGGGGTTTACTTCGCTGTTTGTTTTACGATGCTGTCGCGAGATTAGAGAAAGTTTATAAAGAGCCCTGCAATTAGCATTAAGCAGCAGTCGGAAGGCAGCTAAGTCGAAAACACGTCGAGAGCAACAAGTGGATGCCACAGCTAGTGCGCCAAGTGCAAACAGTTCCAAAGTCAACTCAAATATCAATATCCCCGGAGATCAGCGTGTGATAATGCCCGATAGCTATACGGCGGACTTACGTAGCCGCCGCCGCGAAAATCCAATCGACCGAAACGGCAATATCGGAAGTATTGCCAAGGAGCAGGTGCGCCGGCTAGCCAATATTGTTTATGACGCCTAACTTATTAAAACCATCATGTGTGCATATCTACACTATAGCGATATCTGCCACACGTAACCGCGTTTGATGACAAACATTGACGCATAGCGTGGCGAGTGTGCACAGGGAGAAAAACTAATATAATATTTTTACAATGTACTATATACTAATATGATGATTTTACAAGTAATTTGAGACCAGCATTTATATAACTATGTAGATGTATTCAAACATTTCACTACTCTAATATTTGTGTTATCCTGAACATAATGAAATAATTTTTTATCGATGGGATCTAAACTGGAGCTCTATGCCAAAGCCAAATTTTGCCATGTTAGGTAAAGAAGTTGTAATTCTTATCAAAATCTTATTTAGCTACTCTTTTTGAAAAACATTTTTTTCTGTGTGTATCTTATCGCGGAAATCAGAGGTTTTCACACCTTGCCCAGTCCATCACCATACTACAGGTTTTGGTTTTGGCCTGGCCGCAAACGGTATACTCTCTATTTCTCTCCGAAAATCCTCTCAACCCGCTGCTGATAAGCCTCTGAAAGTTACAAATATCTCATTCACGGAAAAAGATACGGCATACTATGTATTTCGGCTAACAGCTGGCGTAGTTAAAGACCTCTTATGTTTACCCTTCACATAAGTGCAACGATTAATGACTCGGCGTTTACCTATTTCTTTAATTATTCAGGCGACAAGCACCAGACAAAAGCTGACAACCGATTATTCCCAGAGGGCTAACGAAATGGCGTCGGGCAAGGAAGGTCAAGAATACAAGTCCAGCAGACGCACTCTCAGCGAGAGTTCCGCCGAGGACGTCGGGCGTACAGGATCAAAGAGCAACGGCGACGGAATGTGGCGCAACGAGCTTTCATTGAATCCGAACAGCAGCTCCACTCAGCCCGGACATCCGGAGGACCATAGTCCTGGCTCTGGGAGCTCCAACAGGAGGCTTAGCGATGCAGTTGATGTGGTACTCCGCGTTCTCCTCGTGATTGTCTTCGCGTGAGTTTCCTTGTGACAAATCCGCAATGCTGACGATGTCAATGTCTCATTCATGATTCATCTCTGCAGCAAGTTGGAGACTATGACAGCTTTCAAGCGGGAAATCCACGAGGAGGAGCTCTGGCTGTACAAGAACCCCAGGAGACCGGACATCGTCAAAGGCGGGGAGCTGCTCTTCTGGGTGATAGTGGCTCCATTCCTGGTCACAGTTGTCTTCTACTTGTTCACCAAAGACAGGCGGGACTTTAGAGCCGCCAGCTGGGCCTGGACCCTGGCTCTGTGCATGAATGGCCTCCCGACGAGCATGCTGAAGATAACAGTAGGGCGGCCAAGGCCCGACTACTTTTACCGCTGTTTTCCCGACGGCGTGATGGTTCTCAACACCACATCGAGCAGCCTGGACTCCTCCATCTTGGACTTCAATTGCACAGGGCTCCCGGGTGACATAAACGAGGGCCGCAAGAGCTTCCCCAGCGGACACTCGTCGTGTGAGTTTGTGCATGACATCGGTAGTCGAATGCCCAGCTAACAGTTTTAATCCGTCGTTTCAGTTGCCTTCGCTAGTTTCGGTTTCATCGCCTACTATGTGGGCGCCAAGCTGCACGCTTTCGACATCAGGGGACGCGGGCACAGCTGGCGACTCTGCATCGCAGTGATTCCCTTGGTGATCGCTCTGCTGGTGGCAGTCAGTCGCACCTGCGACTACCACCACCACTGGCAGGATGTGACCATAGGCGGCCTAATTGGCCTGTTTGCGGGCTATATAAGCTACAGACAATACTATCCTTCCATTTTTGGCCCGGATGCTGGCACACCGCTCGTCCGGTGGCCCAGGAAAGAGGTAAACCAATACCAGCGGCTAGCAGGCAATGACGAGAATGAGAGCCGTGATGAAAGGGCCGAGGGCGACGTGGTGCGGAGGCCACTCATAGGGGGCAAGGAACAATCCAAATGGTACTAAAAGCTTTATGTAATTTATAGTCAATTATTGCTTTCCCGTCTAAGCTCCTCTTAACTTATCAAACCATCGCTGTATTTCCAATTTACAAACGTGCTATTGGGTTACCTCGTAATGGGTAGGGTTTATAAGTAGATTCTCCAATAAAAAGTAGTGCGTCAATTGCTAAACGTAAATTTATTGCTCATCTTTGGCAGCAACACCCAAAACTAATTTGCTACTTCAAAGTGACCGAAACTAGCCTAAAGGACAAGGGATGCACGCGCAGATTCAGTTCATTGAGTTGAACGCCTGCAGTAACACCTGTTTCTCGCGCTCCTTTTTCTTGACCACGTCCAGACTGCGCTGTCGCCAGGTGCTTTTGCGCAGCTTGATGGGCCGACTACCAACATAGCGTCCGTCCATCTCCTTCATGGCCCGAATAAAGTCGGCCGGCTCCCGGAAGCTGACAAAGCCGAATCCCTTGCTCTTACCCGTCCGCTTATCGCGGACCACACGCGCTCGCTGGAACGAGGGGAACTTGTTGAAGGTCCGGGTCAGCACCTCGTCGTTTACGTCGTTTCCCAGGTCGCCGCAGAAGATGCGGAAGTCATCGTCGGGCCAGTCTGCCAACGAGGAGTCCTCCCACACGCTGCCACCGGCAATCCGCACCGTTTTGCGGTCCTTCTTTTTGCGCTCCGTAGTCTGGAAGGACTGCAGCGCCGAAGATGCGCGCGCCGCCTTGATGGCCTCCTCGGCTATAGGATTTGGTCCGGACTTCTCCGCCTTGAGCTTCTTCAGCTTCTGCGTTACGTCGAAGGAGACGGCGTTGATGTCGATAGATGGTGCCGCGGCCACGGTGGGCACGTGCACTGATTGCCGGCACTGGTACAGCTTAGGAGCGCTGCTCAGGACTACGGGTGAGGCGGACATCGGCTTGCTGGCGCCGGAGGAGCCGCCGCCATTGCCCGTGGGCACGAAGGTGGACATGAAGGTTGGTGGTGGCGGGATCGGGGGCGGCGGTACGGTCAGGCGGGATCCTCCATTCCCCTGGTGGTGCTGCAACTTGTGTTGTACGTTGTGGTACGTGTTGGCGGCGATGATCGGGCGCACCTGGTTGGGCACGAAGAGATTGCGGGCCGGCGGCTTGGAGATCTCCGCCTCGAACCGGGACAGCTCGTCCTCGATGTTGCGTCGCTTTGTACCCATTTGCAATGGGTTCGGATCTACGATTATTTAATGATTTAAATCAAAACAAATTTTTACGAAAAATGCTGCAGAAAAGGAGATGGCACTATGAACACACCGATTACTTGTTCAATCTTTTAAACATCGATTGCATGCTTAAACTATCGAGTGTACCTAAAATAGGTACAAGCTAGCCTTACAAAATATTCACAAGCATTGGGCACAAAAGGTACATTAGTAAACAGAAGAACAGTAAAGAAATCTACACAAACTATTGACTTTGTATGAAGAAAAAAATGTTGAACAATTTTAAAGATTTGAAATCTAGATTTCCATATGCAAAAAATTAACCGTTAAATTTGTGTGGCAACGCGCGGTATGACCATTCCACAATGACGAATAAAAAGCCTTTCTTGGGCGACTTGGGAGTGGTATTTCGGCGTCGTCTTCACTAAGCCCACACCAGCACTGACTCAACTTGAGAATAGCTGTTTTCTTTTCGACGATTTTATACATAATAATTGAATTAAAAATCGTCGGAAATCCCTAGCTGTGATAGCAACAAGTATACCCAGCAAGCGAAGTGAAACAAGAAGCAATAATCCCCCACATACACAGTCACGGTCGCACAGGCACACACCAACACAAGCTCACACAAAGTCGTAGGTGCGACAACAAAAAAAAAGTGTGGAAAAGCCCCAAAAACCAAGACTTTTCCCATCAGATTTGAAAGCATTAAACCCCAGGAAAATGCCAACCAAGGAGCGCAATATAGCCATGATGGGCTACAGATCAGTGGGTGAGTTTTCACAAGAAAGACTATTAAAACCCGCAGATGCTGTTGCTGCTGGCAGTTGTAATTGCGTAGTATTTTGACAATAGCAACAATTGCGAACAATTCCTTAAAATAATTGCGCTTTACCTGCAGGCAAATCATCGATCTGCATACAATTCGTTGAAGGCCAGTTCGTGGACTCCTATGACCCCACAATCGAGAATAGTAAGTGACATCCCGACAGGATTTCTCAGGAGCCACGAAGGCTTGGGATGGCTATTGCAAGATGCCAGATGTGATGTTTTGTAATTCCCATTCGCAGCATTCACAAAGAACGAGCGCGTCAAATCCCAGGACTACATCGTCAAGCTCATCGACACGGCCGGTCAGGACGAGTACAGCATATTCCCGGTTCAATACAGCATGGACTACCACGGCTACGTCCTAGTGTACTCGATAACCAGCCAAAAGTCATTCGAGGTGATCAAGATAATCTACGAGAAGCTGCTGGATGTGATGGGCAAGAAATAGTAGGCATCTTACTGGGTTCCAAACGGAAATCAGCTAATTTACCTTGCCTTTCAGCGTACCTGTGGTGTTGGTGGGCAACAAGACTGATCTGCACCAGGAACGAACCGTTTCCACGGAGGAGGGCAAGAAGCTGGCCGAGTCCTGGCGAGCAGCATTTCTGGAAACGTCCGCCAAACAAAACGAGGCAAGTCCCAGGTCCACATTAACTAAGTGAAAGCTACTTAGTAACCTCCCTCCACAGTCTGTGGGAGATATATTCCATCAGCTACTGATCCTGATCGAAAACGAGAACGGCAATCCCCAGGAGAAGAGCAGTTGCCTTGTATCGTAGGGCGCCTGGGTAGCTGGAACTACGGCCGAACTGCTGGGAATACGGCGAATCGCTATGGCAATACGAAAATCGATTATCTCTTATCTACACAGTTGGGCCGGCGTGCAGTGGCGGGGGCGGGCCGTGCCCCTTGTGCGCAGCAGGAAAATCTAAAAACCTAATAGCTTTAAGTCCACACAGCAAGTAACCAACATCAAGCGATTTAGATGCGTCCGCTAACGCTGCCCAGCAGGTTTTGTGGTTCGCGTTTAGCGCAAGACAACAGGTTTAAGTTAGTACACTTTTTTCACAACAACAATTCAGTTACAAAGTTCATATACAAATTCTATCAACATTTTGTTTTTAGTTCCAATTTAAATATAATTTTTCCAAGTACTTTGCGTGATTCTTTCTTTAGTCTGATTATGCAGGGCATTGGTGAATTTTTGGAAAGTATGAAACAAGAAAGGACATTAAAGTGAAGGATCGTTGCGGTATTTAGGTGACCTAAATAAACAGGCAGAAACAAATTAAAGAAATGTCGGTCACAGCTATGTTTGTATATAAAAGGATATTGGTCGTCAAGGTTTTAGGAAATTGGGGCACTCACGGGTTCGCAATCATTTTCATTTAAAGGTCAGAAATGAAGGTTTCCCCCAAGAAAAACAATTTAAACTGTTTTGCTGTGGTTTAGGCTTCCTTTCATGAGAAACAGCCCATAATACAATGACTTGGACTTAAGCTAGGGTTGGAAAAAAACAGGTTCACAATATTTATTTATTTACAACATAAAACAAATATATATTTTTAATTTTTAAATAATTTCTGCTTGTAAGAATTCGATTGGTAACGCCAGCAAACACCGCTGCTGTTAACACAGAAGGGAGATTTCTTAGCTGACATTTTCAACGACTAAATTTTAATAAATTGAAAATAAAATGCAAAACTACAATTGCTTATTTTTAATTTTTTTAAATGTTATCATTGAAGTAATTCCTTTTAGAAAAATGTATCAAAACTATTTATGTTACCCCATTTCTCACACAATAAGCATACATGTATAGCCTCGGACAAATGTTTAACAATTTTTAGAAATCAGAAAATGTGACGCAGGATAGTTATTTAAAAGCAGGAAATTTCAAATTTTCGAAACCTCTTTCATCATTTAGAAAAAACGAATTTACTCGAACCAAAAACAAAATGCTGAAATTGCTGATGCTATTCTATAATAACTGCTTTTTGGTCTCTTTTTGGCTCTTTCTATTTTTTTAGCCCCTCTGATGTTCTTTGCAGAACTTTTAGCCTTCCTATTGGAATTTTTTAAACTGCGAAGCGTTATTCACTCTCAAATCACACTTTATTATTAATTCAAGCAACTACATATTTCAACTGTTGGTTTGAAAAAAAAATGATTTTTGAAAAAAAATCGACATAAGCACAATCGGCGCCAAAACTGTATGACCACTTGGGAGAAAACGCAGAAAGTCCCGTAACGCCTTGCCTACATTTGCGTTACAACCAAAGGTGGTCACACTGCCGGTCCATCAGCTGCTAGAAAATCCACCATGAAAAGACAAAACCCACCAAAAGGCGAGTTCCAATTGGACCGAGAGTTAAATGTTTTTCGATTTTCAAGCAGTGAACTTGTGCGTGCGTGTAAATTAAATTCGTTCATCTGCCAAATCGCGTGAGATTGTAGCCATTTAACGGTAATTTCCCGAAAGAAAGCATTTGCGGATTTAATTCGTGAATGTACCCAATGCAAAAGAAAAGCGAGTTGATTTTCCCTATTTTCTGTATTGCAATTGTTTTTCTGGTCGAGTGTATAGGTGTGTGTGTGTATACTTGTGCGCAATGCGTGGGTATTTTTTCCGTTTTTCGTTCTATTTTCAAATTTTATTAGACTCACACATTAGTATACATATCCCATTATGTTTGGCCGTTAATTTGAAATTTCTCCAACGCTGTAAGCAGCATTCGCGAGTGCGTTTTGATCGAATGACGGCATTTCTCAACCCCAATATGTACATGCAGGTGCACTAAAACGTACATATGAACATAAAGCGCACCTGAGTGTGGATATGTTTGTGCAATTGCATTTATCAACTCGCTAATCAGGTGCAATGTACATCTCCATCTCCATCTCCGACCACCGATTGCCGATGGGTGGGTCCAGGTACAGGCTTTTCTTGTTGCTTCCTTTCCGGGCCCGCTGCCTTTTATCGATTTAATAACAAACGAAGAGCCAAGTCGTTGGACTCTGCAAACCGGCAATCGCATAACCCACCGCGACGTCTGCGGAGATGTGCCTGCGGGGAATTGATTTTATTGACGTACTTAGCTGTGCCTGTGTACATTGTACATCGAGCACACATGGGGTCAGGACTTGATTTCTAGGTTCATCCAACTGAGATGCGATAGTGGCGCACGTTTGTCAATAATAGCCATACCCCCAGTGGTACGAAATCTGGAGGATGGGCCCCAAGACTGATAAGATAAGTAAAGATTTTATAGTCGGCATAAAAGCCACCTCTAAATGAGTGAAACCGGCCGATTCTGCTACTAAGGGAATACAGCAAACGGAAAGGAAAAGGTATTTGATGTATTATTTGATGACTACATATGTATCATTTGGGTTCATAATCAATTTATTATGTGAAAAATGGAAATCATTTTTAAACATATCATCAAATACAAACGGATTTAATTATGTTCAGAGTGACATTCTAACTATGGGTAACTGATTGTCCAAACATTTCTGATACTTTTCAAAATAATGATCTTTAAACCAAAACCTCAAAAGAATGTATTTCTCTCTGACGTTTAAAGAATATAACTTCTAAAATTCCTTCAGATCAAAAAAAATTAATTTAACGTCTCATTTAATTTTAAAAATAGGAAATATCAACCGCGTTTTAATATATTACTGTCTTCGGACTCCATTAAGTTACTAACTCACACTTGTTAGTGTGCCACAATTAAAATCTATCTGAAATACTCGTACATATGAGAAATTACCATTTAGTTGGCCTAGGAGTCATGTTAGAGTGCTTAATTGGAACAGCAAGTGTCAGTGGCTGATGCAAAATTACAAACAATTAATAGACAGCCGGCTTACGAACACCACTGAATGTAATAAAGGCGGGCACAAAAACATTCGTTCATTTGTATTTTTACAAATTAAAGAGCTCTAGCGACCTACAAAAAGTCTAGAGAGAATGAGCTTTGCACATTTTCCCCAACATTAATACGGCTGCATTAATTGCATTATGTACCTACAGACCCACTTGTGTGCATTATATACACATTCGAATACACCGCGAGTGTATATACCCATGTTGAGAGATAATCTAGTTCGTTGCATCCCAGCACATGCACTTCATTTTGTTTTCGATGTGCGCCACCAAAGGGGAAAGTGCTCACTTATCCAATATTGCGCTGGTTTCGGTGGACACCAGGCTCCCATTTGAAATTGAATTAATGAAATGTTGCCATCCTCAAACACGTCATGCACCCCAATAATCATTACCATAACAAAGTATGCAGACGCACAGTTGCGGTAAAAGCTGTAGCTGCTAATAGGTAATTCATTTCGAATATGGCGGAACTTAAATACACTCAGAGAAATGCCCGCCCTGGGCTTTAAGAAATCAGTGTGAGCTGCTATCGCCTGAGAAAACAGAGCCCTCTAATCCCCAACAGCTCTTATGGATTTTGTGTATTCTTGATTGTTTATTGTCACTCCAGCATATGCTCTTCAAGTTTTCACATGATTCAAAGGTCCTTTCCATTTAACGTAGTTGTCCATTTTGTACAACATAGATGTCCCAAATAAAAAGTAGTACCGTGACAGACATTTTATAGCATACAAAATTCCAAACGCAGTTTTGACGATATTTAAAAATTATTTATCGCTATTCTGGCGACATAATATCTATGGAAAAACAGTAGGAGGGTAACTCCTTGGCTGACACATTTCCAAAAGCAGTAGTAATGAAATAAATCACATTGACCGCAGCTGTACGGAGGCTACTCATAGCACCATAACAAACGCTTTCCGCACCGCCCTGACTTACTCTCTTTTTTCAGTTCGCTGTGCCGTGTGGCACAATTTGAACTTAGCGGCTTTAGGGCCATCGTCAATGCCATTCTCTAGCCACAATAGTGATACATCCGATGTGAGAGAGTGTGTGACGAGGGCGTAGTACGTCGCATCGGCACTCCACACCAAATACTCAGTACTTGAGAGGGCCACGAGAGGCGGAGACCAAGACCATCGGAGGTTAATAACCGCTGGCCTGGTTGGCTGACTGGGCTACGACTGCAGCGCAGACGTCGGAAGAGATGGCCCTTGTAATGGCTTAGGCGCAACATTAATATTCTGCCTGTTATGCAGTTACCATATTGTGTTGCGTTCGGTGTGTCTGCCGGCGGAACAAAACGTTTTCCAAGTGGAGGAACCAATCTGCTGAAAAGACAAACGAGCTGCGATGACATTTGCGTCTCTGCACTGTGGGTCACAGCATCTACCCTACGATAAGGGGTGTTATGGGGCACCCCCCAGCATAAATACTTACTGATTTCGAGAGTGCATACACTCAAAACATAATAAAGTTTGAAGTTCCTTTGTCCTTTTTAAGAGTATGTGGAGCCAAAGTCGAAAAGAACATAGTTTTGCCAAAGTTTATTATAATTCAGCAAGCGGGGGAACTGGGATAGTTAGATACTAGTATCTATAGTATGTATAAATGCTGTAAAAGCAATTATGATCCAAAATGGGTAATTTTCTTTAGACTTCTAAACACATTGTTAGAAATTCAGAAATTAATTCCATTTTCCATTTAAATAAATTTAAGTTTAATTTGCGTTTTTCGAGTGCATGGGGTTAAGTTCAGTCTGCGCAGCTTAAAGTACGGCACGTGTCTGGAGCCCGTCCTGAAGCGATGCCTCCGATGAGTCATGGGCCACCACAAAAGGCCCAACAACCCCAAATGAATGAATGAAAACGCCAGCTCGCGTGTCTGCGTGTGGGAAATGGGGAAATCCTCCCCAGTCTAGTCTAGCACTCACTCACAGCACTCATTTAATTGCAGACTCTCGCCATGTCGACTAGCCCAAAACCGGTTAAGAAGGTGCCGATTCACTTGCAGAGCGCCCAGAATCGTGTCTACATTAAAAATGGTAAGCTCATTTACAGACTCCGTGTGGGAAACTGAAGTTGAAACATTGATTTCATTACAGGCGAGATCGTCAACCATGATAAATCGTTCAAAGCGGACGTGTACATCGAGGACGGAATTATCAAGTATGTTTAAACAATTTGATAGTTATAAATTGCATACTGTGAAAATAAAGTTATGTTTATGGTTTTAAGATAACTTCAAATGAAAGCAACTGTTTCGTTTGTTTAAAGTTTTTAGAATTTAAAAATCATTTATTGTGTTTCATAAATTTAATTCAATTTGACTTCATGATTTCCGATTAATTAATAATTTCCGATCATAATCATACCAGAAGGAGTACTCTAGTCATCCATAAACTCTAGTACTTTATTCACTTACTTAAGCACAATTTTTAAGGGCGTTGGCATGACTCGCCAAAAATATACATATTTCTCACTCAAAGCCTAAATCAACCCAGTCTAAGAAAAAATCCACCCTTCTATTCCTTCAAGGTTTGTGGGACCCTCCTCCGAAATTACGATACCGGGAGGAGTCCGCACCATCGACGCCAGCGGGCTTATGATCATTCCGGGAGGAATCGATCCCCACACGCATTTGCAGTTGCCTTTCGGCGGAGCCGTGGCCGTCGATGATTTCTACCATGGAACCAGGGCCGCCGTTGCAGGTGGCACCACCATGATAAGTAAGAAAATGCCTAGCAAGACTTGAGTCCCCTTGGCTCTAAACTTTCGATTTCCCCAGTCGACTTCGTTCTGCCCAACAAACATGAGTCGATGATCGAAGCCTACGACAAGTGGCGCAGCTGGGCTGATCCTAAGGTGAGACATATGAAGGAAAGGTATAACTTTGCGTTTCCCTTTTAATCGGAAGATATAAGTATCAACATCCCTCAACATTAAGGCAGCCAATAGTTTATGTAGTTTGGCAACCAAAGTTTTAATATTTCTATGTTTTAAAAACCATTTTTTTAAATTATATTAAAATTTTTATTAAAAATAATTGACAGAAAAGTCGCTAATAAACAAAGTTATAAAAGTTCATTTGAACAGATCTTCATCATAGCTCATCAATCAGTAGTTTTCATTTTGTCATGATGCCAATTTGACATTTTTAAAATTAAGCCCTTTCAGTTAGATTGGTTCATTAAATCTCGAATTGACGAATTGCATTTCCCCACTTCATAAAAACTACACTTCAAATTCTTTAACAAACTTACTAAATGCACATGTTTATTTAGGTGTGCTGCGACTACGGATTGCATGTGGGTATCACCTGGTGGTCCAAGTCGGTGTCTGAGGAGATTGGCATTCTGTGCAAAGAGCTCGGAGTGAACTCCTTCAAAACATTCATGGCATACAAGGGTCTATATCAGGTAAGTCAATTTTAAACTACAGCAATTATTTTATATTTACATTATTTTTTACCATTTTCAGCTGAATGATTCAGACCTTTTAGATGTTTTTGAGCGCATTCGACATTTAAATGGTGTCGCAATGGTAAGTCAAGAATATCAAGTTTATTTAATGTTTTTCAGCATTTTTATACCCTTGCAGAGGGTATTATAATTTTGGTCAAAAGTGTGCAACGCAGTGAAGGATACATCTCCGACCCTATAAAGTATATATATTCTTGATCAGGATCACCTCCTGAGTTGATATAGCCATGTCCGTCTGTCCGTCTGTCCGTCTGTCTGTTTCTACGCAAACTAGTCTCTCAGTTTTAAAGCTATCGAGTTGAAACTTTGCACACAGCCTTCTTTCCTTTGCACGCAGTATATATGTCGGAACGGCCGGGATCGGCCGACTATATCCTATAGCTGCCATATAACTGATTGATCGGAAATGCTATAACTTTGGTGTTTGTAAAGTTAGGAAGTTGGGATTTTCTATGGGTTTTATTTTTGGCCAATCAATCCGACCTACCAAAGTTCATAAGGATCGGCCGACTATATCCTATAGCTGCCATTTAACTGATTGATCGGAAATGCCATAACTTTGGTGTTTTTAAAGTTAGGAAGTTGGGATTTTTTATGAGTATTAAGATAATAATAATAATCAATAATTTTTGGAGAATATAATTTACAGAGTATTCTGCAAGGGTATATCAACTTCGGCTCCGCCCGAAGTTAGCTTTCCTTTCTTGTTAATTATAACTTTGTAGTGCAGTCGAGTTCCTGGTTAAAAATTAGAGTTTGGTGTGTGATAATGTTTTCGAAAGCGAAACAATTTTAATTAAAGTTTAAGGTCTCAAAGTTTCATTAAAACTTGCTCATACAACACGTAATGCCAGTTAAAATATTTTGTTTCATTAAAGGCATCTGGGCATAAGTGATAAACTTGGAATTCAATGCCCAGAACCTTAAGCGAATTTTTTGTTTTTAATTCTTTTTGTTTTAAATGGGAAATACGCATTTATGCAATACTCAAAATTTTTGTAACTCGAATTTGTTTGGTTGTTCGTTACACTTCTTTTTAGTACATCAGTTTCTTATTATTATTTGTTTTGCCTTTTCCGTTAAGGCCAGTTGTAACGCAACTTGATCCGTTTCCGCAGGTCCACGCTGAGAATGGCGACATCATTGCGAAGAACACGCAGCGCCTGCTGGCCGAAGGCATCAATGGACCGGAGGGTCACGAGCTGTCGCGACCGGAGGAAGTGGAGGCCGAGGCCGTGCACCGCGCCTGCGTGCTGGCCCACCAGGTAAGACCACTCCCAAGGCGCTAGTTACTCTGGGAGGGACTCAGGAGGCGGCGGTGTGTGTCCACGCGGGCTAAGTGCCAGTCACTTGGCCGGGCTGTAATTACGGTTTATTTATGTTACACATTTTGATTTCTTATTATTTCCATTGTGTATGATGCACCCTTGTACATATTATGCGGTATGCGGTATGCGGCACTCGATATAACCCCCCAATAAACGTACATATATTAGGCCGCTTGTCCGCTGTACGTGGTCCACGTGATGAGCAAGTCGGCGGGCATTGAACTGGCCAGGGCCCGCCACCGATACCGGGGGCGGTACATAATGGGCGAGACCCTGGCCGCGGCGCTGGGCACGGATGCGACCTGTTGCCAGCACCTGGGCTTCGACCACGAGGCGGCGCATGTGCTCAGTCCGCCGTTGCGGCCCGACAAGACGACCCCCGAGTTTTTGATGAAGCTGCTGGCGAAGTAAGTTGTGCCTGGGTTCAGACTCCGGGCCGGGACCGTAAAAATCTGAGTCAATAAATATGTTAGCTTTTCATATCCTCTACGACTCTATTCTTGACGTAAATATAATTATGGGTTTCTTTTCAAACTGGCACTTAATTAGTTTATTTGGGAATAGTAATTGGAGACCTGCAAGGGTTAAAAGAAAGTACCAATCAACGAGTTCAATTAGAAACGTTGAGTTAAATTGGCATATTAAGATCCTAGAAACCTTTTTTTCATTTTTGAAAAAATGATAGGAATTCATTTATTATTTAATAAGATCAGCAAATTCAATCAAGTTGATACAATTTCAAAATTTTGAGATTTGAAAGAGCTCTTTAATTTCTTAATGGAGATTTAAAATATTAAATTACTTAATTGCAAATTAGTAAACGATGTTGGGATACTGATTACAATGCCAAGTTCAAATTAGGCAGGTCTCAAACCTATAAGAATTTTTAAGACAAGCTTACAAAATTAATAACTGGGAAATATTTATGATTTAATTTTTTTAATCCTTTTTCGTTATTTTACAAGTTTGTTGAACACGCCACACTGTGATGTACCTTGTTTTCGACTATTGTAAAAAGAATTCTAAAGATCCCAAAAAAGCGAGTAGCGGGGGCTCCATTCAAATGTGGTTAAAGCTGGTCATGGGTATTTTTTTTTTGTAAATGTAATTCTTAAATTAATTCTGAAATTAGAAATCAGTTTCCCGCATTTACTTGAGTAATTTAGGTAAACTGTAGAAGAAAATAGATTTTGATGTCTTTAAAATTTATGTGAGTCGTTTTTAAACATTAACTTATGTACATGTACATACCTACAATAATTACGGTCTCTGGTCCTGGGATTACTTGTCTATGCTGAAGCTGGTTAATCCGCATACTAACTGGTCTGTGCTTTTGCCTGCTTGAATCACATCCACTAACTAACTAACTGCGCTCTTTGCCCGATCTAACCCACTAATCCGATGACGTTTCCCTGTTTGCCATTGCTTCACTCACACGCTCACACATCGTCCAGATGAAGACCCCGCTCTTCGTGTCCGGCCTGACCAGCAAATCCTCCGCCGAGCTCGTGGGTCGCGCCCGTCGCAGTGGCTACTGCGTCTTCGGGGAGACGCTGGCCAGCTCCCTGGGTCGCTCCATGAGCGCCGTGCCCAAGGGCGACCGCATTTACTGCATCACCAGTCCCCCGATCCGCGATTCCGCCGAGACACCCAGGCAGTTGATGAAGTCCTTGGCTTAGTAAGTACTGCCCTGTATATGTGGAATCAAAGGCACCATTGGTTTAATTAAGCGAGTGCTATAAACTAGTCTAGAAACTACCAGCTTACCGGCTCACTTTGATTCCACATATACCCGGTTATAGAAGTAAGTATCCAAGAATCAGAACATTTTCGTTGCATTCCACACCCTGCCGGTGATTGTTCGTTTTGTTTCGTTTAACTGACCTCCGAAAATGATTATTCTTATCCGTTCAATAAATCACATTTTCCATTGTGTCCACAGTGATGACCTGCAGCTGACTGGCAGCGACAACTGCACCTTCAACAAGGAGCACAAAGCCTTGGGAAAGGGCGACTTCACCAAGATTCCGAACGGAGTCAATGGAGTGGAGGATCGCATGTCGCTGGTCTGGGAGAAGGGGGTGCACGCCGGTCTCCTTGATCCGTGCCGCTTTGTGGCCGTGACTAGCACGAATGCGGCCAAGATATTCAACATATATCCCCAGAAGGGTCGCATCGGTAAGTGATATTGCAAACCACGAGTTCCAATCCGAAATCAAGAATAAACCCTTCCAGTGGGATACTGGTATACTTTCAATACATTTAACATAGCATTAAATAATAATTACTTGAATCCTACTCCGTCTCTGTTTAGCTGTCGGTTCGGATGCGGATATTGTGATCTGGAATCCGAATGCCACCCGTACCATTTCCAAGGACACCCACCACCACGCATGTGACTTCAACATATTTGAGGGCATGACCGTGCACGGCGTCTGCGAGTTCGTCCTGGTGCGCGGAAGGATCTGCGCCGAGCAGGGGAACGTGCGAGTGGCGGAGGGCTTCGGACGGTTCATTCCCACGCCCGTCCGCCCCCCATTCGTCTATGACATCATCGAGGGCAAGGTGCAGTCGCCGCCGGAGGATCAGCACGAGGAGAAGCTGAACGGCAACGTGGCCAAGCGTTTCGCCGAGCTTGACATCCAAATCCCAGTGCAGGAGCCCATCAGTGCCATGCTGGCCGGCAACCTGGCCATGCCGGCGGAAGGATCACTGTGCAGTACGCCCTCGGTGCGTGGACGCGTCGATGGCAAGCGTGACATGCAGGAGTCGTCCTTCTCCATAAGCGGTATGTAACTCCTAAAATCCTTGGTAGTTAACTATCAAGAACCATTTGTATACCTCATATATGGATGTATGCTTTATCACAGATAGAACTTTTTATAACTTAATTCAATTTATTACAGAGGAACTGGACAGGTCTGGCGTTCGAGCGTGCATTAAAGTGAAGAACCCACCTGGCGGAAAGTCTTCCGGATTCTGGTAGATCACACACCAGAAGTCGCATCGTAATGTGTGTGGATGCGGAATCGCACAATCTCCGACGACAGTGTAAGCCAAAGTCTGCGCTCATTCGATAACTAAACTGGCATTTAATATAGAACCCTGAAATAAAATCGTAATCTAACCAAATTTCAAAATAAGTACATATAGCCACAAAACGATTAAGAAAAAACCGAAAAATCTGCTTCGTCACTTAACATTTAGAACCGATTGCCTCTCGTTGATAAACTTTTTGTTAAATTCTTAAACCAAGAAGCCTTTAAGCAAGTAAAATTGATTGCCGAATTGAGGACTACGAAAATCAAACGAAATTGCGTATTAAGGTATTTTTTGTTGAACACTTTTATTCTAAATACTTTGTTTATTTACAAGTAAATGTAGCACAATTTGTTTGTACTCTTGAAAGCTAAAATAGGCAATCCAAACAAAATCAAAAGGCTCGATAGAATAACTGAGTTTAATATATTACACTATTGCAATTGTTTATTGATAACCCCGCTTTAAGAAGAGTACATCGATCATGCCACGTGAGACAAGGTACCGTTTGGGAGCAAATTCGGCACTTCATCTGAGGATGTCTAAAATTAGATACTTCAATCATTTTTTCAATGAAAATTATAAATGTGCAGAACTATTTATTATAAACACATACTTTATATACATACATTTAATAAAAAAAGCAGAACACAAAGATCAAACTAATAAACTTTACCAAAAAACTGAAAAGCTTGTTTTAATTTCCAGTAAAAACTGATATCTTAATATTACTTTGAAATGCTGAGAAAAATAGAAAGATTTTCGAAATTTGAAACTAAATTGAGATTTTATTTGCACCAGCTGTTAATGGGAGGTTCCGAATCGAACGTATTAGTAAAGAGGTAAAAGACAAGATCAATAAAGACAACATTGTTGGATTAGTTATTAATCGCTTTTACTTTTATTTATATGGATATTTACAAAACGATTTAGCACAATTTGTATATTTATATTTACTGTTATCAATTGTGTTGCAATGCCAACACTCTTACTCTTTATTCAAAAATAATGACTGACAAACTATGCAAAATCAAGTGCTTTATTGAAGAACTGCATAACTGGCCATGCAGCTATTCATATGAATACATAATTACAATTGTTCGATAACAATCTTCGTTCAAGAAAAATACTCGACTGCATGAACGACATTGTGAGGAATTTGCTATTCAATGCAAGCCAATGGTTTGAGGTTATCAGTAATTTTTTCAGATGTGTTTTAAATTAAATATTTAAATTATCAGAGGTAAAATACAGATTTGTTTTGCCTTCGCTTAACTACTTACAATTGGTTAATGCTCATGCAAAATAGTTATAATATTATCATTACAGGTGTCGTACGAATAAACAATCTAATGAACTAGTCTTGATATAAATAAAGTGTTTTTGTAGTGCTTTGGGAAACCGAAAATAAGGTGGCAAAACTTGCTTCTGCTTAATATTTAAAATCTTCACTTCTGTGTTTCGCTTACAGTCTAAAATCATTCGTAAAGTGACCTAAAATTGACTTAGCAACTAAATTCCAATAGTTAATGACAGTTTATGAGTTTTTCCTTTTGTTTTCCCATAGTTTTGCGATGGTGGCTGCTGAATATTGTTGGTTTCATTTGTTGGTAGATTGTAGGAATGCATGCGACCGCAAAATTCTTTAGATTTTTCTACCAAACGCTGAAAATATACAAACTGGATTTTTATGGTGTTTAAATAAAAAGCAAATGTGAATTTTGACTTACTGCCACATCCTAGGTTCCCGTTTGCTCGCTTACAGTTTTTTTAAATACGCGGCACATTTAACCGCACTGCTAACCTGCCCCGTGTTAAGGAGACTTAACTTCTTGTGCTTTGCTCGGAATTTCCTTACATATGCGTCAATAAGATTTTTAATCTTGTGTGGATTAATTTCGCCGGATCGACTATGGCAGATCTAATGGAAAGAAAATAAAATAAAACGTATACTAACTTCTTCTAATTTGATAGATTATCATGTGGTGTGTATATATTGCAGATACTTTTTTTTAATTTAATTCGGACTAACTTAACGAATTATTCTATTTACCTTGGGCACGGCTCTCCGCATGATGTCCTTGTAGTCATCCTTAGTGATAGCTTTCTTGTTAAAGTACGGCTTTAACACCAATTTCACCTCCTCGACGACACGCTCTTGTCGATTTAACTTGCGTAAAAGCTGCAAATCACATACCAAATTTATATATTTTTTGTTTCTAAAAGCGTGTTTAGTTTTTACTCACTCTGTCCTTATTTTGCAGATCCGTTGCCGAATTCGGCACATCGTCATAAATATCAGGATTTCTTGAACCTTAAATTTAAATAAAATTTAATTAAAGAGTGAAGGAATTTTTTAAATTTCAATTGTTTATCTAATTGTACAATGACTTGGCTTCGGCTTTTTTGACTGGCGCATAGCAGTGTTTATTCTTCTAAACTTAATTTTTTAACTGATTTGCTGGTTATTACATACATACATTAACACTGCCTAGATCTTCAAATGTAACAAAGTATTTTTTCTTTTTTTTGAAATTTCCTTTTTTTTTAATTTTTGCCAAGCATTATACCAACTAGTTTTCACAAATCACCTCATGAAACACACATTAGTTAACAAACTTAAATTAAATTAAAATAATTAAATTATTAGCATTGAAAAATTAAACTATCTTTTTTGGTAAGAAATCATAAATAAGTACGGGTAACTAAAATAACTTTTTAACGTCGTTCGGAAGTTCAACAAGGCTTTGACTGAAAACACTACTCACTTTTTAATTTTGATTTGCGGTCACCCTTGCTGCGATGCGACTTCTTGCCCGCCGCTGTGTTGTATCGTGATGACACCCGGATGTTGCCCACGGGCGAACTGCTTCCAAAAAGGTTATCGAAAATTTCCACCTTGCCCCCGGAGGCTCCACCCTTTGCTCGCCTACTGCCCTCCTGTAAGGTGGGGGGCTCGAACAGGTCCTCGTAGTCCGCCGAGCCAGGAGAATAGGGGCTCTCGATATCCATGTTAAAGGAGTCGTCTAGGGCGTTGCTAGATCCTCCGGCATTCCCGATGGCGCTGCCGTTTCGCAGGCCACCCACTCCACCACTCGTGGTGGGCATGTTGCCAACGCCACTGCTGCTGCTGGCCACACTTCCACCGGCCTTGGGCAGCGGAGTGGACTTCTTCGAAGGCGGCGTTGGACTAGATATAGACGGTATGTGCTGCGAACTGGACACAACGCTGCTGCTCGTGAGCAGCACATTAGAGAGAACGGTGATCGTCTTGCCATCAGGCCCCTTGTCATGGCTGTCGCCTCCGCCGGCTCCTCCCCCACCAGTGCTTGACCCAACACCCAGGGCCAGGCTGACGGAGCTGCTGCTGATGTACTGGGCGGAGCTCACTTCGCTCTCCTGCTGGATAGCTCCGCTCTGATTCGGCTTGTTCATTAGCGCCATCACCAGGTCCACCGGGTTGAGAACGCTTGTTTGGGTCTGGGTGCTGGTGCTCGCATTGGACACGGTTGCATGAGATGCATCGTTCTGATTTTTGTCTCCTGATCCAGATCCAATTGCACTGCTCACCGGCATTCCGGCTGCTTGCTGATCCAAGCTTTGACACGGCGTTGGTGTGGGCGATCGTGGTGAGAGAGAGGGTGACTTGGTTGGCTCGAAGGGATCGTAGGCATCTGGCGAGCATGGTCCCGACTCCGGAGGTGTATTTGGACCGATCTTCTGCCCCCCATCATGGGTGCCGTGGCCGTGCTGGGGCGTCTGCTCCTCGGGAGCCAGAGAACAGGCCGTCTCTAGCTCGTCTGCAGAGTTAATATCATCAGCGTCTTCGTGGAGCGGATTGCTGCGCGCCTTGTGCTGCATCTTTTTGGTGGGCAGGTTGAACTTGACGAGGGGAGGCTCCGGCGGCGTCTTGGGGCCAGTTGACTGTGTCATGTTCTCATACGAGGTCTCCATGATTGTGTCCAGGGAACCGACCTGCGGGGTTTTTTCCCTTTGTCCGTTTTCCCTCATTAAATCGTGGTCCCTGTCCCGCTCCCTTCTCGTAGAGTTTTGGTCCGTCGCATCCTCGCTGTCTGTAAGCACAATGACATCCGCCGGCTCTTGGTGCACTTGGAAGGGTGAGCGTTCCAGATCGATGATGGCCACCGGCTTAGCCTCCAGCTTCTTGCGCTTGCGGGTCTTGTCCCGCTTCCCCTTCTTGATTGCTCCCACAACGCTGCTAATGTTACTGTTAGTCAGGAGATCGATAGAGGTTATGCGATTGCTCAACAGATCTTCCCTGCCGGATGGCATAGTGACTATCGACTGTTGCTGAGAACCCAACGTGGAGATCGCATTGTTCGTGTTTGACTCCTTGTTGAAGCTCACGCTCACCAGAATGTTATTGCCCGAGGCAAATATCTCCTTAGAGGGCAGTGGCTCTGGCGTCTGTGTGCGCCGTTTACGCTTTTTCTCCTTGCGTTGTTTCTCCAGGGGATGTTGCTTCTTTTTCTTTTTGCTCTTATCCCGCTTGCGCTTTGCCCTCTTGGGCGTCAAACCGCCATCATTGTCGTAGTGACCACCGGGACCTTTGGGCGATCCCAGCGGCGGCGTCCAAGACGGGTTCTTGTCCTGGCATACGCCATCGTGTAAGAAATCGCAGCGGCCTGGTGAAGGCGATGGTGACCACTGACTAGTGGTCATTCCCCCCTTCTTTCGCTTTCTCTGAGGCGCCAGGAAGTCGTCAGCATCCTCAAAGGGATCGCGCTGCCGCGAGATGCGTCGCATCCGCGCGGCCGTCGTCGGACTGCCGCTACCCGTTCTCCTTTTGTTCTTTTTCTTCTTATCCGACTTCTTTTTCTTCTTCTTGGGGGCATCCTTGGGACTTTTGGAACGACTCCGACTGCGACTCAAGCGTGGCGTATAACGCGGTGAGCCGATATAAAGGGGCGATCTATTACCTCCTCCATTAATGCGATTGGGAGTGCGCGAGCGGGATCCTCTGGAGTGCAGAGACACTTGGCTACGGTCTCTTTCAATTGGAGGAGGCTGCAGCGGCGAGGGAGAGCGCGCGGCATAGCGTCTGCCCGAAGATGTTGTTCGACCGCCTTGCTTCTGAGGTGAAGGGGAGGTTCCTGGTGGTGGCGTCGGCGAGATGCTAAAGCTGCGAAACCGTTTTTGCGAACCAGAACGGGAACGCAGGGAACCCCTCGATCCTCGCGAAACGCTTCGCGAGAAACTACGCGAGTTGCGCCTTCCCGAACGACTTCTGCCCGACCGCGTTGCGTCTCGTCCATAGCGATCCTTAGCGTGGTGTTGATGCCTCGATGCACCCACCACATTCCGTACATCATATCGAGGTAGCTCTCTTCGTTTAGGACGCTGAAAGAACTGCTGGTGCTGACCTTGCTGGTTATAGTTAAAGTAATGCTGATGCTGATGGTGCTGCTGGTGGTAGTTATGATTCTGGTGGTAATTGTGGTTGTAGTGCTGGAACGGTCTGTTGTGAAACTGTTGGTTGCGGTAGTTGAAACGCAGGCCTCCACGACCACGCATAAAGCCACGCTGATGGTCCCGTCCACGGTGAGAAAATCTTTGGCGGCTATGTGAGTTGGAACGCGATCGGGACCTTGAATGGGAGCGGGAATATGACTTGGAGCGGCTGCCACGGCGACGCCTGTTCCGAATGCGGCTGGGAGAACGACTCCTGCTCCTACTCCTGCTTTTGCTCTTACTCCCACTTATACTACGACTGACGGTCTTGATTCGCTTCGGGCTCTTGGTGCGGCTCTTTGGAGTACGACTCCTAGAACCCAGCTCGGGGCTCTGCTCTGGGTCCGGTTTGTCAGCACGGTAGTTGCGATCCTTCTGTCGTTTACCAACCTTCTTGAATGTTTCATCCTTGTTGCGCTTTGAACGCGATTTAGACTTGGACTTGCCCCTTTTGGCCGCCCCGCCGCGACTTCGACTGCGTCGCTTTGAGCCGTTCTCGTTGGTCAGATCATCCTCTGACACAACATGCGTGACGATAGCTTGATCCGGATCCTCCTCGTCATCGGAAGCCTTAGAGGAACCCGTCTTGGGACTGGTGCTGGCATCGTTCTGCTCCGTTGCCCCAGTCGTCGCCTCATCCTCCTCACCTTCCGCCATATTCTTTTCGTCCAGACATGGCGTGTAAGAGCGGTCCTGCTCGTGCTCGCTGCTGCTTGCGTTGTCATCCTTCTCACCATCTCCATCTTTTTCGGAATCTGGCTTCTTAGATGTCGCCGAGTTGGGGCTGGCATGTCCCTCGGTACCCGTCCCAAGGGCCTTCTCATATTCCTTCGGCTTGTCAATGTCTAACTCCTCCCAGTCGCTGTCATCATACAGCTCTAAAACGCCCTTACCCCGATCTCGGTCAGCAACTCGGTCCCCCTTAACCACCGGGCTGGGAGTGCTGCGCGACTTAGCTTCCTCTACATCGTTCTCCTCTAGAGGGGCTGCGGGTTCGTTGGAGATGCTGTTGCTGGACTCGTGATCGGAGGCCTCCGAGTCTTCTATGGGCTTACCATCACAGGACTTTTCGTTTACTTCCGGGTCATCCGGCTCATCCGTTGGATTCTCCGGCTCGTACAAATCATCATTGATTTTTTCGGGTACGGATTCGGGTTCGGGTCCCGGGGGCAATGGTATCTCGTTGTCATCGTCATCATCATCTAATTGTACTAAATCTTCATTCATATCGTCATCATCCTGTCATAGTAGAAACGATTAAGTGTATGAAAATAAGAAAACCAAAGCTTGCTATTAGAGGGGTACAGAAAAAAACTAAGAACTTAAGCATATATGTAAAGTTACATTTTTTGCACACCTTTCAAAACTATGACCTTCTTTTTTCCCAATAACATTAGTCTAGACAATATTCATCAAATTATATAATTTCCTAATGACAGGGAGCCAAACCAACAAGTAGCCTTCAGGTTCGATTTATTTAGTGGAAACTGACTTTTATAAATTTTAAATATTTATAATTTTAAATTTTTTATCTGGTGAATTTGTTTCAAACAAGGATGTAAAACCAAAAAAATTTTAGAATTTATTACTCTGTCACAAATTACTAATCCCGTGGAAGAAAAATGATCTACTACATAATAGACAAACTTGATCTGCTCGGGATGCCTACAAAATTTGATTTCTATATCTCTTGCAGTTTGTAAAATCATAATAGTCATCAATAAAGGGACTCTGTGAAGTCAAGCCCATAACATAAGTAATGTATTTACATTAGCTATCTAAAACAAATTTCGAATACTTTTTGTTAACTAATACCATCGCAATCTTTATACCCTTGCAGAGAGTCTTATAATTTCAGTCAAAAGTTTGCAACGCTTTTTTGTTAATTTTAAATTGGTTTGACGTTTTTCAAGTATAATTATGTCAGTATCATACCTTATCAGACACATCAGCCGGTCCTTGTGGAACCCCCGACGACATAGCCGAGGCATTGGCCACCGCCTGCGATTCCTGCGAGTAAATTGAGAAGTTCGGACAATTGTCGGCATCGTCATCCACGTTTCGATCATTGGCTTTTAACGGTGACTGCTGCAGCGTGTTCATCTTGAATAGCGGAGTGTTCCATGGGAGACTGGCGGGAGGCATGGGCGGAGGTGGTACTGTTAGCAATGGCGGCAGTCCCATTACCGGTGCCGCATGGTGATTTACAGGAGGAGCGAACATCGGAGGCTGTCCTGGAAAGCTGCCCACTGGCGATGCCACCGCAGCCGAATGTGCTGCACTTCCTCGAAAAGGTGGTGTGGGTTGGTTGGCAGGGGGCAAGTTCTGCTGGCGTTGTTGCTGCTGGCGGGTGGGCGTGTTAAAGCGGAGGTGGAAGGGAGTAAAGCTTGACACATTTGTGTTGCCATTGTTGGAGCTGGGACTACTGAAGTTTTGGTTACTGAAACCGCCGACCGCTTGGCCATCTTCGCTGCCCGTCGCTTGACGCGAGGAAGATCCTCCACCACCACCTGTTGCTCCGCCGCCTCCTCCACCACCCCTGTAACTGTTATTTCCGCTGAAACGATTGTTGTAGTTATCACCTGCTCCTGATCCTCCACCCCTACCAAAGTTGGGTCCGGCTCCTCCGCGCTGGTAAAGTGGCGCCTGGGTTACATGCTCCTCCGGCTTCGAAGAAGCTTCTGGCTGCGCTGCTACTCGTGTTGCTGCAACCGCTGGTCTCTGGGGGAGGTTGAGGGTACCATCTGCCCTAATATGGACATCGCCCAGGTTGCGCGAAGCGTCGTGCCAGCGATCCTGAAGATCCAAAATGGAGGACAGTATGTCTCCAGCTGAAGCTGGACACGGAACTGAAGGCGTGGCAGCTACGCGTGCTTTACCTTGAAGCAACGCTTTACGGATGCGCGGTGCTCCTATACTAGCAATGCGCACTGAGGTTTGCACGGCAGTCGCTCCAAATCCAGAAAAAGTGGCACTGCCCCCAGGGTCTGGCTCACTGTCTGAGAAGTACTCCAGATCGTTGGCGTTCCCAAAGAGCGAGAAGCTGGAGGCCCCTCCACCGCTTAGATGTGAACGCTGCACACCGTCCGTTTTCACTCCCAACTGCTCCGCCAGTCGCTTGCTGGCGGTAAGACGACGACCAGGTTCCGCACTAGAGGCAGAAGCCACGACACGGCGACGCCGCCGTCGACGTCGCCGGATTACCTTCTTGCTCGTCTTCAGGGCAAACTTCTCGTCAAAGTTGTTCAGGTCGTACTCAACCACGTAGGTGCGATGGCGAGTCCTCCTCCGCCGGCGACGCTGAGCGGGACGTTTGGTGGTGCTAGAAGTTGTGCGACGAGTGGTTGTTGTAGTGGTTGTGGTAGTGGTGGTAGTGCGCGTACGCGTTCGGGTTGAAGTTGAATCTTCAGCTGATGCAATACCGGAGCGAGTGCGTCGCAGTACGGCTGCCCGAATGCGCTCGTTTTGGCTGGTGCGCAGGATTCTCGGGGGTTGCTGCACCTCCCGCACCCTGAGTCGAGTCTCCGGCAAGCCCATTCCCCTAATATCATCGTACAACTGACTCAAGTCGTCCAGCTGCTCATTGGGATCTTCGTCCTCAGAATCAATGCAATTGTCGCAGTACCAGGAACCATCGGGAATCTCGTCAAGCGGCGGGTCCAGACAGTCCATGTGGTATCCCTGATTGCAGCTGTCGCAAAGCAGCATCACATCTTCCCGCTCCGGACTTTCACAGACCTCGCAGTTGGTCAGCTCCTCTTCGGAAGCCACCGCGCCCTCTGCCTCATCGTCCAGTGCCAATTCGGTCTTGGACTTGCTCAAGTCCACCCGGACTTCCCGCACCACCTGGCGACTAGCGTAGGACTCCCGCACCACAATCCGGTCGAACGAGATGCGGTCAATCGGACAGGTCTGAACATTTCGGGACCAGGCGTCTATGCAGGCAGCGCAGAAGATGTGCTCGCAGGTGGCTGGCGTGCCGATCTCCTGCTGCCGGAAGGTAAGCAGACAAATGGGGCACTTCTCCAGCAGATCGTTGCTGCTGCTGTCGGAACTGAAACCGGGATCGGGCTCAGCAGTCGTGGGCTGCAGTCTGCCAGAAGCACTGGGCGCCTTCGCCTGCTCCTGCTCCTCCTCATGGTAGGATTCTAATTTTTTCCGCTTGCTGATGCGCTTGGGCCGTTGGTTGATCTGAAATTAAGTATGTGGAACATTGAAAGATGATGACAGCAGGAAGGAGCAGCAAAAGTGAAGGTCAGGAAGGAAAGCATTACCTCGCTGCCGCTGGACGAACAGTCACTTTGCGGTCCATGGCGACTGCGAAGCTTGCGGGTGGACTTCCAGGGGACGGCGTCCGATTCCGAGTCCACTTCTTGGCGGCGGGCGCTGCGTCGCAGCCTCGTCGCCGTTGAACAAGAAGGCAGTTCGTCCAGGTCGCGATCCGAGGCCGTGTCCGAGTCCTTGAACTCGATCCGCATGATGAAGCGCCGGTTCCGCTGTGCCCGCTGCTGATTCACGGGCGGGCCAGCGTCGGATTCGGAATCGGAATCACGGTCGGACATGCTGATGCAACTGCGTATGTGTGTATCAAGCCGATATATTGATGTGTGTACACTGTCGGCGGGGCAGGCGCGTGTGTATTACATATATATTACATATAGGGAGTGCTCGTCGCTCAATTTTCATCTAGTTATCCGCGCCTGGTAGTTTCTCTGCTCGGCCTGGTAGCCACATTTCGATATGATAACCCGCCGGAGTTGGTGGATTCAGTTTCTGGCCTGGCTTGTCTGTAATTGCAGGCCGCTGTGAGTGGATAGCCGAGTGCCGAGAGTTGCATCAATTGCCAATTTTCGGACGTTCCGACTGACGTTTGTCCCGTCGCCGCCTTCGAAGGAAATCGTGGGCGTGGCAGCTGCGGTGGACAGGGGGCAATGGAGTCCGATTTTGACGCCGCAACTCCGTTATTTCCGAATTGGTAGCAAACGCAAATTTTTCTCACACTGTTTCCTTCACACACACACTAGGATTTCAGCCATTTTTTCAGCTAGTGGTGGAAGAACGCGCCAGCGAGCCCTTTCGATAGTTTCTTGCGTCCGACGATGTATCGCTGACGACGATTGATGCCATGCTGCATGATATTAAAATCGAACGGATTCGTTTATTTGGTTTCAATTGGGAATTCAATATTGAATGGAGCTTTAAGTAAGCAATAAGTTTTGCGTAAATATGATTTTCGATCTTGTTATTTAACTTAAATTTTTTTATTACAACTGAACTGAATAGTACTGAATTCATTTTAATATTAAATTGAATTTTTTTTATTTAAGACAAATGAGTAAACTCTTTTTAAATCTTTGATTAAAATAGTAATTTCACGTTTTAAATAATAGCTTGCAAGATATAAAATTTAAAAAATATTTTAAAATTAATTTATAAAAAACTTTTATAAAATTATTAAATGGAAATAAGATGGTATCTTATTTAACAAAAAGTTCATAATTAAATTGAAATCACTCAAACTAGTTTATATCTTTAAAATCCTGGGAAAGATACTTCAATAAGAACTTTTTATGAGCATTCGGTACTATCGATAACTCACAATCTTCTATATTCATTGAATCTTCATTGTTTTAATTAAGTTGCGCTTGCTTGCGAAATGCAGGCGGAGATTGCGGCTGACATTCACTTGGAGGCGATAGAGGTGCTCCTGAATCACATTCTGTATGTTCGTGGTTTATACCCCTCACAGATATTTAAAAAGAGGCGAGTCTACAACACGCCGGTCTTTGTCTCCATTTTCCCGCCGCTCAATAATTACCTGGCGAGCGTTTTGAGATCCGCCCGGGAATTGCTCATCCGCCAGGAGCTGCAGTGCCTGGTGGTGATAGTGTACCAAAAAGAAAATGAACCGCTGGAGAGCTACCAACTTCACCTTAAATCTCTGGAGGCAGGTGGCAAATCAACGGTGGAGGATCCTCATTTAATAGAATTTGAGCAGCAACTGCGCGCTGCCATCTACAAACTATCCGAGCGCCTGAAACAGCTTCCCAAACTTCCTGCAGGAAGCTGCCAGTTCAAAGTCCACCTGCACACCACCCAGGATGCATTTGTCCGCTTTAGTCACGAGTCCCAGTACCAGGAGTTTCCCTGGCTACAGGCCCAGACTGCAGAGTCACAGCCATCCCAAACCATTTCCTTGCTACCCCTGGCCACTGTGGAGAATGTCGGATTAAAAATGCAAGCTCATATCCTTGGCTGATTTAAAGTTTGAAGTTTATAGTTGATTATGTGTTAAGTCGAATAGTTTACAAGACATTAGCTTTTTTAAATAATAAAAACTTTAAAGGTCGTTAAATATCAAGAGGAATAGTTTGGTAATCTTAGAATATTTTCGGTGTTCTTTCTGGGCTGCAAATCTTTAAAACAAAACTAATTCGAATCATCAAGATTACTATTCACCGCATACGATTGACCAGTCTTTCAGCGACATATAAATCAACTCCTTAGAGCAGTCCCTGGCGCTTTAAATCCTCAAACGTTTTCCGGTTAACGACGTTGCCCAACGAATCCTCGAACTCCTCCTCCTGGTCGGCTATCCAGCGCTCGCTCTGCTTCTGCGATTTCAGCTTCTCCCACAGCGTGATCGCGTCCTCGATCTGGGTGACATTGGCGAAGTGGGCGGTGTTGGGAATGCCAAGACAGCGCATGCCGTGCGCGTGGCGCCATTCCGCGAAGTGCCGTTGGAAGGCCTTGGGGCCCTTGTAGGTGAAGTTGCCGCAGATCTCGCAGTTGTAGCTTATGTTCAGGCCATGAAGCTTATACAACCAATAAGGTATGGGTTTCCCGTCCCAGCCGAGCGGCAGGTTCTTGGGATTGTACGGCACGTCGTCCGCATCGGGGTCGTCATCGTTATCCGACTCGCTGGCCTCCACGTCGCTGTCGTCTCGCTCGCCACCGGTTCGAGCCTGTTTTCGCTGTACATTCTCCTTGGTGGCCGCTCGCTGCTCGGAGAGAAGCTCCGCATACTTGTAAAGCAGCGCCTCCAGTTGAGCGATCTCCTTGTGGCGCTCGTGCTCACGAGACTGCGCACTGGCGGACTTGGCGCTGGGCTTCTTTGCCATCAAGGCGGGATCCAAAGTGCTCTTCCCCTTGGTGGAAAACAGCCGTTGGGCGCGCTCCTCCAAGGTGCCGCCGCACTTCAGACCCAAAGCGACCAAAGCGGACTTTAGACGATCTAGTCCCAGTGATGCCAACTCTTCCCAGCTCGAGAAAGCAGAGAGATCGAGGTGGGCGCCTGTATTGGCCAGCGCCGACTCCGTCTCCTTAAGCGAGAAGCCGGGGAATGTACCCAGAAGCCACTGGCGCTGGAAGTCGAGCTCCACCTTTAGAAGCTCACCGTCCAAATCGAGCAGGGGCTGGATACGCAGAATAAAGTGGTGCAGATAATCATTGAGGGTCTCTATGTACTTTCGGTACTCTCGGTTTTTTCGCTCACGCGGTATGTCGAAGACGTGGTCAAAGGACATCAGGTAAGTGATATAGTCGAGCTTCTCCACCGCCCGCAGGTTTAGATAGAGCTCGTAGCACTCGTTGAGGTCCAGATACCGTCCGCCTCCTTCCTCGTCCGTGAACTCCACCAGAGCGCTCATGTCGTCTGGGTTGTTGTACACCCGGATCATCTCGTCAAACTCGACGGATAGCGGGACACTGACCTCCGCCGGATGGGATTTGTAAAATTGCTTGATTTGCTTGAGGCGGGCATAGAATTCGTTGAATTCGTTGGGTCCCGAGAGAGCGGCGATCTCCGCCTTTCGCTCGTTGTCCTTGTCCTCGTACAGGTCGCGCAGCTGCGACGTCGCGTTGTGGTGGAGTTCCATGAGGTACTTTAGCCTGTGCTCCGAGTGGATCCGCTCCTTTTCACCCGGCTTTTTGGTCGCATGCTCATCCACCATAAGCTTGACCAAGCGTTCGCGCTCCTCATGGTAGCGCCGCTGTTGCTCCAGGAGCGTCTCCATGGCTCTCGAGTGCGAAGATTCAAGAGTAAAATGTAAATAAAAGCCTTTTTTCTCACCGAAACACCGACGAAAACAAAATGTTCTTTTAGCTAGCGTGTGTACATTAAAAAACAGTCACCACGAAGCAAGGATGGGAAAACATCGATATCGAATTTGTAAGTACGCTGTTTATACCCTCTTCGCACTAGCACCTAAAAATGCAATATAATGAATCTGGTTGCGAAGCGTTTACAAAAACAGTCGACGTCAAAGACGCAGGTTAAAAATTTGAGTTATATTATATAGTTTACAGCATTTTTAGCCCAGGTCAAAAAAAAGAATAAAGATTATTTTAAAAACTTAACAATGAGATTATAACGAATTTGTTATATATATATTTGCAACTATTTTGATGATAATTAAATCTTTATGATATTAAATGGTCTGAATGGTCTTTACTTGGTCAAGTTTTCGTCAGTTGTTTCACAATAACGATATCGATATCACCGGCTATCGATAGTGACATTGATGGTCCGACAGCGCTAACTCATCAACAAATACACATTTTAACCCCTTCGCTTGCAGGGTCACACTTTTCGTGAAATCATATGATCGATTTGCAGTGAAAATTTTCAGACGTTGGGCAGAAGGCAAAAGTAACTTATCGTTTTCCAATTTCCTCGAGTTAACAAATAGTTCCAACCCTACTCGGCTCTGAATTTTTTAGCTTAACTAAATTTGTAACTATTACAGGCACGGTTTTACGTGGACTTCTTCGAAACACTTGAATTTCCTTTCGGTTCGGTTTTGTGCGAGTGAAAAAATCAGTCAAGATGGCACTGAGCGATGCTGATGTACAGAAACAGGTAATTGAGAGCGGGAAAGCGACGAAGGTCGTTCTTGGACATGGGGAATAATACTTAAAGTAAGGGATTCCTCGAAAATTTGTCTCCCAACAATAAAGATGGCGAAGTCATGGGATCCGAAATGTTCCCCCAAGTCATGTGAACTTTTCATCCGCAGTCTTATTGGCCTGACATTAGGCTGATTGGCTTAAATCTTTAAAGAGAACCCGCAATATGCTCAGATTTATTAGTTATTATAAACCTCCCAAAGTATTTGTCAAAATACTTTTCATTAAAAGTGAGTAAAAAATTGGTGCTGGTCATGTGACACGGCCCCGCAATGGGGCAATGTGTTCGAGCGAGACGACTAGCCCAGCGCCCCCACACTCGCACTCTCTGTCACACGACCAGCAAACCCCTTACGTTATCAAAAACTTAAACGAAAATAAATAGAAGATAGGGTTATTAGACGATTCCCAGCGAATGCAGTTATCATGTGACGAAAAGGACAACTACTAAACAGGACGACTGTTTCAGATCAAACACATGATGGCGTTCATTGAGCAGGAGGCCAATGAAAAAGCCGAGGAGATCGACGCCAAGGCCGAGGAGGAGTTTAACATCGAGAAGGGACGCCTCGTCCAGCAGCAGCGTCTCAAGATCATGGAGTACTACGAGAAGAAGGAGAAGCAGGTGGAGCTGCAGAAGAAGATCCAGTCCTCCAACATGCTCAACCAGGCTCGCCTGAAGGTGGGTGTTCCCTAGGCGGTGGCCTTGGCCTTCGGGAACCAACTCATTTGGTATTCCTTTGAACCTTCTTGCAGGTGCTAAAAGTGCGCGAGGACCATGTGAGCAGCGTGCTGGACGATGCCCGCAAGCGTCTCGGCGAGGTCACCAAGAAGCAGTCCGAGTACCAGACCGTGCTGACCAAGCTCATCGTCCAGGGCCTGTTCCAGGTCATGGAACCCAAGGTGATCCTGCGTTGCCGCGAGGTCGACGTGCCTCTGGTGCGCGATGTCCTGCCCAGTGCCGTGGAGCAGTACAAGGCCCAGATCAACCAGAACGTCGATCTCTTCATCGACGAGAAGGACTTCCTCTCTGCTGATACCTGCGGCGGTGTTGAGCTGCTGGCTCTGAACGGACGCATTAAGGTTTGTACACTCTTGACCTATGGTAGAACCACACTCTTGACTAAACTCAATAATCCCTGCAGGTGCCCAACACGCTGGAGTCCAGATTAGAGCTGATTTCACAGCAGCTGGTGCCCGAGATCCGTAACGCCCTCTTCGGACGCAACGTTAATCGCAAATTCACCGACTAAATTCTTTAAGTGCAAAAAAAAACATAACTAATCAGAAAGAGAACCAGCATCAACACCTAACCAGCAGGAAAAGTTCAAGTTATTACAAGAGAAGCTCCACCCACTAAATATTAAACCCAAGTAAACTCATCCTTTGGCAGTCGGGCAACAGCTAGGATTATATTCGATTTCAAAATAATTTTGCCGTTGTCTTTGTATAGGGAAACTGAAACACCGGTCCTTGTGTATGTAACAGTTATATGATACCCACACCAAACACACATATATATACTCTGATATATATGTTTGTATGCCAATACTTACTATATAGTTTAGAGGACATGATCCTAGGAGCATACGAAAGCATAATACGAGTTTGTTAAAGTTTGTTCGTTTTTTTTACTAAGGCACATATTTCTGAGCAGTAGGTCCAGGAATGTGCTTATATTGTATACATACACTTTAAAATTTTGCATACATTCCTGTCCAAGAATTTTGTTTTTAACTTTTTCCCTCTTTTTGCGTTGTTTTCTTTTTTGTACATTAATTTCCGTCGTCTGTAGTCTTTGTTGAGGTTTTATATGTCTATGTCGTTTATGTTTGTTATTATCATGTGCAGCGATTAGGAGGAACAACGGCAGCGGATCACCCTTTCCAGTGCCGCTGGTAGCCTACGCAAGTAGCCACTCAGCATTGTTGCCCTGCGAAGAACCGAAATGGACCCAAATGACCGATTTCGCTGCTTCGAGGGCAACGGCCACTTGTGCAGCTGCCACCGGCCCATCAAATCCCCGAAAATCATCAATGTCTGTTGTTAAGCTAGCGAAAGTAACGAATACACACTATTAAGCACGCAACACTTAAGCCCTATAATACACCGCATCCACGACGAAGAAGTATTGCCAAGCGCCCCAAGCTAAATTTGTTGACCCTGAAGTTCAGCTTCCAAACTATAAAACTAAATAATTACTTAAATTACTAAAAAAAAAAAAAAATGGAAATTAGATTGTCTCAATTTAAGGGGCTGACGAACTGCCACCGTTTCCACTCGCCGCTGCACCACCACATCAGGCTCTAAAGCAACACCACGTTCATACACACGACTAACACGCAGGAACTACAGCTAATTTAAACCTTGTATTTGCATGTTCGCCAATGTTCATAGTGTATTCTTCAGGCTCATTTTTTAACCGTTACCGAGTAAATTGAAATTGTTCAAATATGATGAATAACTACAAATTTAGCAAACAAATACAAAATAGCATATGCGTTATTATATAACATCGAGTACTATATACATTACATGAAATACGAAATGCAAGAAAAATTACTTTTAAACAAAATTTATGTTGAATAAAAACAGTATTTCCAAAAACTATACTTAATTATAATACATGTTCATTACTAGGAAGGAGGATTTGCAATGCAAAACACAACAAGCTGAGAGCAATCATCACCCCGCCCCCGCTACCAGTTTTTTCGCTCTCTCCCGCTCTTTCAAGTATATGAAGCACTTAAAATATTTTATAACTTGTAAAGTAATGGTGCGATTGGGAACATTTTTCTAGTATTGATAAATATTAACTAAGCAAGTATTTCAGTGCGAGTTTAAAAAAATTATGCCCAATATCTGCCCTCTACGAGATCTATATTCGATTTTGAAGTTCATTCGGACGGGCATGAGCTCAAAGAACTTGGGTCGACTCAAATCGAATTTTTGAAATTTGAAAAGCTTAAACGCTTGCCCACTTTTTTTCCCACATTCGGCCACAAATTAATTCCCACATTTAGTTTAGAATATATGGAAAATTCATAAATTGTCAAAAAGGTTAACTTTTTAAAAATTTTTTTGAAATCACAAGAGAATCTTTTGTTTATCTTTTGAAATTTTAAAATATACAACTTCTGAAAAATCGTTATTTTGAAAAAATAACTAGAAAGGAAAGCTAACCTCGGGCGGAGCTGAAGTTGATATACCCTTGCAGAATATTCTGTAAATTACATTCTTCAAAACTATTCATTTGATGCATTCTTAATACTCATAAAAAGTCCCAATTTCCTAATTTTAAAAACACCAAAGTTATGGCATTTCCAATCGTTCAGTTATATGGCAGCTATAAAATATAGTCGGCCGATCATTATGAAATTTGGTATGTCGGATTGATTGGCCAAAAATAAAACCTATAAAAATCCCAACTTAACTTTACAAACACCAAAGTTATGGCACTTCCGATCAATCAGTTATATGGCGGCTATAGGATATAGTCGGCCGATCCTTATTACATTTGGTAGGTCGGATTCATTGGTCAAAAATAAAACCCATAGAAAATCCAAACTTCCTAACTTTACAAACACTAAAGTTATGGCATTTCCTATCAATCAGTTATATGGCAGCTATACGATATAGTCGGCCGATCCTTATGAAATTTGGTAGGTCAGATGGTTAGTTATAGTTATGGTATTTCCAGACGGACATGCTTATATCAAATCAGGACGCGATCCTGATCAAGAATATAAATACTTTATAGGGAGATGTCTCCTTCACTGCGTTGCTCACTTTTGACCGAAATTATAATACCCTCTACAAGGGTATAACAAAAAAGAACCATTCTCTTTTACAGAAAACTGTAACAGGTTCGACTAAAGCTTAGAAATCCATTTTTAGCAACACATACAATTTTAAAGCAATGTTTCGAGCTTTATATAAATATAAATGTTTAATATTTTTTTTCGGCCGGCATTAGGAACCATCTTGCTCCCAGATTCTATTTTTAAAATATTTGATTCCAAATTGCTGATAGAAATGCGACAGAAAAATTTTGCTTTTGTTTTGCAAATTTGAAGTACTGTTATCGAAACTTAGCTTTTAAAAGTCAAATATATATACAATAGTTTGGTTTCGCTTTGCTTTCATTTGAAGTTTTTCGAGCAACCGTGCAGCATAGATTTAGGTGCTTTTGTGTTATAAACCTGGTTACGGCCCTGCCTATATACATATGTATGTCCAGTTTTATCATTACTACATGTATATGTACATGTATAGTCCAATCAACCTAGAGTTTCCGACATCCCACGAACGAGAAATATAACAAGAAAGGAAAGCTAACTTCGGGCGGAGCCGAAGTTGAAATACCCTTGCAGAATATTCTGCAAATTATATTCTCCAAAATTATTCATATGATGCATTCTTAATACTCATAAAAAATCCCAACTTCCTAACTTTAAAAACACCAAAGTTATGGCATTTCCAATCGTTCAGTTATATGACAGCTATAGAATATAGTCGGCCGATCCTTATGAAATTTGATATGTCGGATTGATTGGGCAAAAATAAAACCCATAGAAAGTCCCAACTTCCTAACTTAACAAACACCAAAGTTATGGCATTCCCGATCAATCAGTTATATTGCAGCTATAAGATATAGTCGGCCAATCCTTATGAAGGATGGTAGGTCGGATTAATTGGCCAAATATAAAACCCATAGAAAATCCCAACTTTCTAACTTTACAAACACCAAAGTTATGGCATTTCCGATCAATCAGTTATATAGCAGCTATAGGATATAGTCGGCCGATCCTTATGAAATTTGGTACGTCGTATTGATTGGCCAAATATAAAACCCATAGAAAGTCCCAACTTCGTAACTTAACAAACAGCAGAGTTATGGCATTTCCGATTAATCAGTTATATGGCAGCTATAGGATATAGTCGGCCGATCCCGGCCGTTCCGACTTATATACTGCGTGCAAAGGAAAGAAGGGTGTGTGCAAAGTTTGAATTCGATATCTTTAAAACTGAGAGACTAGTTCGCGTAGAAACAGACAGACGGACAGACAGACGGACAGACGGACAGACGGACAGACGGACATGGCTATATCAACTCAGGAGGTGATCCTGATCAAGAATATATATACTTTATAGGGTCGGAGATGTCTCCTTCACTGCGTTGCACACTTTTGACCAAAATTATAATACCCTCTGCAAGGGTATAAAAACACCGAGCTTCCAATCTTCACTGCATGCAAACTTTTGACTAATATGTTTAAGCCCTATAATATAGTTTAACGTTAACATGCACCCCAATTGCGCAAAACTCCAATCTGAGCTGAAAATAAAATTAAAACAAGAGAGAACGCTATAGTCGGGTGCCCCGACTATCAGATACCCGTTACTCAGGTAAAGGGAGTGCGAGGGAGATGGAGATAGAAACTTTGATCACGCATAACTTTTTAACGAATGGTCCGATTTGAAAATTTTCTTCTACATTTCGATAGGTATTGATAAACACAATAAAACTGCATTTTTACTTTTCCGAAATATTTAAATTTTTAAAATCGTATACAAGCGATTGTGGGCGTTAAAGGGGGCGTGGCACCTTTTTGAAACAAACTTGCGCTGCGTAGGAACTCCTAGAATCTGCATGCAAAATGCCAATCTTCTAGCTTTTATAGTTTCCGAGATCTCAGCGTTCATACGGACGGACAGACAGACAGACGGACATGGCTATATCGACTCGGCTAGTGACCCTGATCAAGAATATATATACTTTATAGGGTCGGAAACGCTTCCTTCTAGCTGTTACATACTTTTGCACGAATACAATATACCCTTTTACTCTACGAGTAACGGGTATAATTACCTTTTCCTTACAATTAAATACTTTTCAGTGTTGTTTTTCATTTAATGGTTGTATACTTATATGTACTTCCATGCAATTAATATTTCGTAATTTCATCGATTTTGTTCAAATATGTTTCGGTGAAACTTGCTAGCATGCAAGTCAATGTTGATCTCTCAATCTCCGATTTGAAAACAACTCGTCGATGTCCTTTTTTGTCGACGGAGCGGATCATTTGAGGAAGAATACTACGTCTTGATGTTATATGCATATGTGGGAATAATTTTGTAAATAAATAATGCGAACATACAAACGGGAAACAGCCCTTTTTTAACATAAAGCGTCTCTACCATCCTTGTTTTTCTATATTTCCTAATCGGTTTCCGCACAGTTAACTTCGACAGTACAGTCGAATTTTAGTCGGTCTCGAAGTTTAATAGATATCGAATGATTTCCTGTATGAAGTTGCGTTTCGAGCGTTGACTGCGTTTTTCTGATTTTTTTTGGTATTGTTATACTTTAAGCTTTTATTAACACATTTTTATCAGTTTGTCTTATCTGTTCATCTTGGGTATACTGGGTGTTTCAACGGGAACTAAATGTGAAATTTCGATTGATATACAGAAAGCAGTTGGAAATCTAAGATATCGGACAGAGGACTACGAACATTTAATTTCTAGCATGACGGTTGTTTTACTCTCTCCTTTATTGTTGGAATTTTTTGAGTGTTATATAGGTGGAGTTTCTCAAAATGACGTTATTCATAGGGTGGTTTGTATATATAGTTCGACTGGCTGTTGCAGATGCTGGTTCCGAATTATCGGATGGTAAAGGGCGGCTCCGATTGTATTGTTCCTTTTTTTTTAGCCATTAACCAACGTGTTACTCTCCATTCTTTTGTTCGTCTTCAGATTCCGATTCTGAAAATAAATAGGGGGAAAACATAAGTATGCAATTTAAAAAAGTTAAAAACTAATTTTATTTTGCTTTAGTAAAGCTGTCCAAATGATTATTGGCCAAATGTAACTATGTGAAGTTATTTGGACACCCAACCATTCAAATGCTCTGGCATAATTCCCTTTTAGCTCAATCTAACGTATAAACGTTTGGAGCTTATTTAACGGGATTGTGCAGAAGGATAGTTAATACTAATGTGTGTAGTTGTCCAAACAATTATTGGCCAAAATTAACCATGGAAGTGGGTTATATGGACACCCAATCATTCTTATGCTCTTGCATACTGTAAATGAACCCTTTAAAATTGGCCCCAAATTTATAGTAGCACTTTAAAAGCTTGGTAAGAAGTATGCTCAGTGATGTCAGTTAGAAGATTGTCCAAGTTTTCATTGGCCTGTGATGCTTAGGGATTTGTGAAGCAACAAGGCAAGCAAAAAACTCACATGCTCTTGCAGTTTTGTACAATGAAAATGCCATTAGGGCAAAATCAATCTCATAAATTGCACTTGCTTATACATTTTCCGTAAAGTTAAATACTATATTGTTCAAGTTTTCATTGGCCTGCGTAACTCAGTGTTATGAAAAGCAACGAGGCAAGCAAAAACCCAAATTTCTCTTGCAATTGTGTACCAGAATCAAGCCATTTAGGACAAGACCATTCTCAAAAAATTGCACTAGTCCTATTTCAAGAAATACCAACCTTCTTCGGCTGACTGGAGCCATTCGACAAACTTGCGCATTTGTTCGAGGAAATGCATCTTTCCCTTGTTGGAGTGACCGTCCTTGTACCAGCGCAAGATGATCTCTTCGGACAGGACCTCGGTCTTGTAGAATAACAAAATGATCTTTTGGAAGGCCTTCATGAAGTTCATGTTCTCGTAGCAAAACTCCTGCACCTTCAAGATTAGAGCTAACTCTGAACGATCTGTCGAGGCGAAAGCCTGCAACAATGTGCAATAGGTCTTTAGGTGACGAACAGCCTGATCGGTAACCAGCTCCTCCTTTTTGTTCCATTCGCCCAATGACATGATGGTGGACCAAATCTGGGAAAAACCATAGATAGCCACGAATTAAGGATAAAACGGACGGTATTTACATCGGTTATCTCGACTTACAATGACAATAATTTCATGATCGGGAATGTTGGTGCGTTGAGAGAACTCCTTAATGTCTGAGGTTATCTCATTGTGTGGCTTGTCATCGTTGATATCATCGATGAGCGCCTGCTGCAGCTCGCGCTTCGCCTCCTGGCTAGCCTGAGCCTTATGCAGCTTAACGATCTCGTTGAGTTCTTTGTCAAGAAAAACTTGTTTAAAATATTCCTCAGTACGTTTGTTTGGTGGGAAAAAGTCCATAAGTCTGAAGTGAAACGAAATGGATTAGTTCAGATCAACGAAATAGATAATTTTGATTTGAATAGTGTACGAAATTAAATCGGCACCCAAATGAAGCAAAAGTTCATTTGCGAAATGGGTAAAACTCCGTCGAATTTTCTTACTCTAGGAATATCAATTAAAGATGCACAACTGGCTGATTGAATCATCTTCCTGAGAACATTCCACACTGATTACAAGCCAATATATAAACTTACTTGCTTTCCAGTCCACCCTTCTTAAGCGCCTGTATCAGATATGCAATGCCCTTCTCTTGCTTGAACGTCTGGAACAGCTCTAGTAGAAACTCCAGTGCAATGCCATCCTTGATCAGGTGCTCGTTGTTTAGTACCAGTAAGACATTTGGCGGTACAGAGCCGTTAACTGTGGATAAGAAGAGATGCAAACGCTTAGTCTATCGTTCTCGCAAAAGAGCTTAACAGGGTCTGAAAGCGACCTTGTCCTTGGGCTCGTGGCTTTTGGATGGGGCAGTCATCCAAGAGTCAGTATACCAAGAGTGAGTTTAGTTTTGGCCATCAGATCTAAGTCTAAAATGTGTTTATCGAGACTCAAGTATTTTAATATTTTGATTGGCCGGCTATAAACACCAACCCAATCGTATTTAATAATAATAGCTTACCTAACCAGAGCGCAGTCATACGCGCAAGCTTGATGCGTTCACTTGGAGTAAAGCCCTTTACGAATAATAGAACTTTTCCCATCTCTTCTTCGAACATTTTCTCAAGGTACTTGTACCGTCTGATAAGCTTAACAAATACCTAAAAAATGTAAAAAACATGATCAGGTTAATTTCTTTGTGCCATTTGAATCAATTCATTTCCATAATGGTAAGCGTTGTAGCAACATTAGAAATCTTTAGATTGCTAGTTTAGTAATTTCGCAAGTAAAGACAAGTAAAATGTTGCTTTTTATTTAGCATATAGTGACACCGATTACATTGTTGAGATGGATAACCGGTTCTAATAATATGCATTTCGATTTAATCGAGTTTCTTGTTCAAATAGAGTATTTTATATATAGAATATATGTTGACGCATAAGAAATCTCCAGACTGTTAGTGTTTAGAACAAACCAGAGACAAGTAAATGTGTCGATTCATATTGCATTCTCTTGACACCGATTATTTTGTAAAACTTTATAATCGGTTCTAATGATATGCAGAAAAACTACTTTTAATACAATTTCTTTTGAAAAACGAAACTTAATGGTCGATCGAGAAAAGATTAATCATACAATTTATTTGGCTAATTTTAAAAACGTCCAATTATTTTTAATAATCTAAATAATATAAGCACATTTTGACAGTCTTATTATTAAATATCTTATCTTTGTATGATCTAATACTTTACGAAATTGTTACAAACCTGCTCATGGTTGCGCATGGCCTCCATGCTCTCGGGAGCATCAAAGATGCAGTAGTTTGTACGCGGCTTCTCGCCATCCTGAGATATGGAACCGCCAGGCACTGTAATCAAAAACAAACAATAGAAAGTCAGAAAATAGTTTGGGAACCTTTCTAGGCAAAATGACTCACCTAGTAGACCTCCTGCAATCAATATATCAAAGAGAACTTCACCGTAACGACGATAGTCGAGCTTGTTGCCCGCGCTGTCTAGATATTTAGAGATTTGTTCCAGGTCGCCTTCAGTTTTTTCGAGACCAGCAATGACCGCATCACGGAATCCCGTTGGGTCATATTTTTCTCTTTCATCTCTTTTTCTGGTCTTGATGCGTTGACCCGATAGCACTGGTCTTTCAGTTTTTTGACTCATACAATAAATTGCTGCAAAGGAAAAAATCGATCAGAGATGGAAGCTCTTTCAGTTTAAAAATGTGACAACAAAATCAGGTACAGAAAGTTGTCAAGGTCACTAGAGAGTTTCAATATTACAAGATTCTAAAGAGTGAAAGAACAGTAAATGGTGTCTAAGGCGTCACTACACGATCTGCTTTTGGTATTTTGAGCTCGTGGGAGTGAATAATAAGAGTTGTTTAGTGGTGCTTATATATGACTTAAGAATTCAAAAGCTTACACCTCTGTTTTAAAGAAATCTGATGAAAACTAGGCTTCTGTAAAAAACCCTTAACCTAAAAATGCTCGCGTACATGTGCTTTGTACACTCACACATTGACGAGCGGAGAACGGGCACACTCCACCTGTCTCTTTCGCACTCACTTAATTTTTACAGTTTGATAATGTCGGATGAAGAAATGAAATAAACGCGAGGCGAGAAGAACCGCCCGCCCAAGAAATCGACAAAGAAACGAGAAATAAAGTGAAATTTTGACGTTACTCTGTTAGGTAGCGCGCGGCACGAAACGAGGTCATTGTGCACACAGCACACACCAACACGGCCTATATGTTGCTTCTATATGTGTTGGCTGACTGGGGAAATTGTCAAGGCAGCGAATACGCAAAAATGGAAATACATAGATTTCCAAGTACACATTGGCAGATATTCGGAACTGAAACTTACACTTTCACTCAACGGAAATAAGTCTGGCCGTGTGTTTGCCGCTTCCGCTTGTCCTCGCAAGTAATCGAAGGTCTATATGCTGGTGTGTGGTTTGGGTGAGTGTGTGCGTGCGTGTGCGCCTGTTGCTTTCTCACAACTGGCGAGCGGGTGCGTGTGTGAACGTGTTTAAGAATTTGTAATTTAATTTAACCTCGCGCAGAGCTTACTAATACTTGTGAGCCGACAATAGCAAAGAGACAGATCTCTTTTCGTTCTTTTTTTTTTCTTACTTACGAGCTTTTGCACTGTTAAATTGACACGCATGCACACACTCACTCAACAACGAACAAAAGAGGAGCAAGCCAAAGAATATTTTTTGTAACGTAATTTACGTTTCTGCCTTTAAAATGAACGTTAAAAATTTTGCTCGGGTCAATTTCAGACTACGTCCGGAATTCTATTTTTAACAGCTATCACAATCGGTTACTAGGTATGTGTTGTTTGCCTCAAGTCCAGCGCCCCGTCTGCGCGCACCACTTTGTTAAATGAAATTCAGAGAGCGAATGACACGAACGAACGTCCGAATGAGACGAACCGATAACGAAGACATGTGGTTCGGCGCCATTTTGAAGCGACACATTGACATGGCGAATGGAGGATTTGAAGAGGGGGAAACGAAACAAGGGAAACTGCGAATGTAAAGAAAAAAAAAACTGGGGGTCCAAAGTGTGCATATTTCTGTCGCTCTTATTAAATAATGTGCAAGGTACAGTCAGACAAAGGCCCGCTGGCCACTAAACGCTTTACTGCGTACATTTTATGGGCGACCGATGACTAACCACGCCATATGTACCCACGTAGTTCGTACATAACCCCTTTTCTAACAAAGGCGCAGACAAAGGATTCGTCATAATTCGCGTAAATGCAGATATTGGAGTTCACCGCCGATAACTAGGCATATCTGATCTTACATCTAATATAATTTGTATTTGCACTGAAGTACTTACGATTAAAACAAAAAAATCTGTTTTGCTGCGAATAGAATAACTTTTCGTGTAGCGTAGCTGTTGGGCTGTTTCTTGTCGACGACTTGCAGAGGGCCCGCAGCTGGTTCCGCTCGAAATACCCTTAAATCTCGCAAGATTAGCTGGAAAATGCTAGAATTTTGTATTCACCGCCAACTGGTCACACCTCCCTGGCATAAAATTCGTTTTCTTTGAAAATTATTATTTAATAACTATTTTCGATTGTGTAAAGCTTTGCCACAATGCCTTTTAGTGTGAAACAAGCTCCTGACTTTGAATTAACCGAAAAATAGGTTCACAAAACGCTATTTATCCATGGCACGATGAAGCAGTGTTACCAGAGCGCCAGTACTCAATTTTGCGTTTTGTCCTAAATAAAAATATTTAAGCTTGTATCCAGATCGACGAAAACCGTACGCCAGTCATGAGAGAGAGCGAGAGGCAAACAGCTGGCGTTCACTTTTCGTCGGGCCTTTTTTTCACGTCGGTCTCCTGATCGACGAAAAAAATACCAGAAAATTCCATAGCGTTGCCACGTCTGCGGAAATAAACTTTGGGTGAACCCTAGCGAAAAGATTAAAAAATTTAATCTTTTGGCGTGCGCTTCTCACTGAACATTATAAGAAATGGAGGGAAAAACTCAAAAAACTCACAAAAGTCGATTGCAGGAGTTTACATGTGAGGACAAAACAACATTAATACTATCTGGGGTGCCTCTTCTCAGAGCCAAATAATTCTTAGATCAAAAATTTACGAAAAACACAATAAAAGTGCAGCTAGGAACTTTAAATTAGCAAATAATTATCAGTAAATTAAAAAAAACATCTGTTAAATTTAAATTTTATTGTTTTTTAATTTCTTTGTACAGCGGCAGAATTGTTTTGCCAAGGTAGTTAATAATATCTTTTAACTGCTTGTCAACAAACTCAGCTGATTGACAGTACGACCGTAGCACGCTTAATTCTGAAGAACTCTCGATATGCTGGTCACACTGGAAAGATTAAAGTTTTTGCGGTAGCGTACTCGTTTGTCGATCTGAGTACTAGGCTTTAGGGTATTAAATTGTTTAATTGCTACTTTATGGAAATTTTAATCGAAAATTTGAACCTAATACTCAGATAGAAAAACGAGTTCGCCAGCGGAAGAACTTTAATCAGTGTGGTAGCAATTTTGAGAGATCATCAATATTGAGTGTGCTACGGACGTACTGTCAATCAGCTGGACTTATTAGCAAACAGTTAAAATTTAAAAATCTTATTTGCGGGAAAGAGCCTTTAAAGGATATTCTCAACTACTTTGGCAAGGCATGTCTGCCGCTATACAACAAAATTAGAAAACAATAATAACGTAATTTAGAGATCATAGCTGCCCTAAGCTCTTGCAGACCATTTTTCTTGGCTTTTGTTTTTGCGCCCATTTTTGAACCTAAGGAAAATTCTGCTCTGACAACAGAGACAGTTCCCTTCAGAGTCTTAAAAGTGTCAATACTGGCAATTCTTATATTTTAAAGTATACAAACGAGGGATACGGTTGCGCCCACTCCATAGAAGCCTTGTGCGAAAATCGGAGCATATCTTTCGATCTGGTGCCGCCATTCGAGTTCAATTGGTCAGAGTGGCCGTTAGCTGATCCTCCGGTTTCTCGATAAAGGCAGACTGGATTTCTTTCGATCGTTTAAATTACCAATAACTAAATGCTTGTCTAACGCTAATATTATTTACTATAAACTATGTCAATCATATAAACAAAACAACGTTTATGAATTGGTTAAGCTTTTTTATTTAAATTAATTGCTTATGAACTTTATAAATGTATAGTTGATTTTGGTTTCGGGTAAATACTTTCAGAAAAAGGTTGAGTATATATGTTTTGATCTCTTTTACTTTTTGTTCGTCTACCGAGTTTTTAACAATAAGAATAATAATCTGAAATTTGTACTCCTTCTAAATAGGCAAGCCAAATAAAATTTTGAAATTTTACCGCTTTTGCTGTTTTTCTGCAAACAAAAATAATTTTTTATTTAAATAAAAAACTGGTGAAGAATTATTTAAATTTATTTAAATTAATTCCTTATGAACTTTATAAATGTATAGTGGATTTTGGTTTCGGATGAATAGTTTCAGAAAAAGGTTGACTGTATCATCTTAAAAGCGCAAGTATTTATCTTTTGATCTGTTTTACTTTTTGTTCGTTTACCGAATTTTCAACAATAAAAATAATAATCTGAAATTTGTACTCCTTCAAATAAAATGTTGAAATTTTACTGTTTTTGCTGTTTTTCTGCAAACAAAAAAAAATTTTTTATTTAAATAAAAAACTGTTGTAAAATTATTAATGCTTAAATGGCATTAAAATCGCATTTCTTTCTAAGAATGTCTGGAATGGAATGGTTTATAACCATTTGACCTTAGAACACCACCATAATATCAATTCAATAAATATTATTATTTATGATTTGCTAACGGTGTAAGACAAAAACAACAGCGTATTATGTTCTTTCTAAATTTTTTTCATTTTTACTTCACTTATATTGCGACATTTATCTAATTTCTCGGCATCTATGTGGAAAACCTTGCAAGGTCCATGGACAAACTATTATCATAATATTGTTTAAATATTAAAATTTTAATGATGAATTTTCCATAATGGATATTGAGGTTCATCGGGCTTAACCTCTAAGCAGTTTCACGTACTATTTAACTCTCTATTCAGAGTTCTTTTCAACTTTCCCTCACGGTACTTGTTTACTATCGGTCTCATGGTTATATTTAGTTTTAGATGGAGTTTACCACCCACTTAGTGCTGCACTATCAAGCAACACGACTCTTTGGAAACATCATCTAGTAATCATTAACGTTATAACTTTGCGAATCAAAGTAGTGTAAGGTGCCGGGATCTTTTGTACCATTTTTTCACATTGATTAATGCCAGGAATTCGAGTTATTCATATTTTCTCCTCCACATGAAACCGCCACTCCTGCGATACAAAATCAGAGAAGTATAGAAAAGAAAGGAAGAAACAAAAATGTTTTTGTGGAATTTTCGTTAGTGCTGGCACAAAAAATAGTTTCATCCAAGTCTACTATCTTGATTTCTCCACAAAGTCATAAGGGTTTTTCCATGCCAAGTTAAAGGAAGGCAATGGAAATAACTACCTTCCTGACAGTCTGGCAACGTCTCTTTAATAGTAGTGGAGGGCCACACTAAAAACATTTGGAACATTTAGGCGCACACAGATGGTTTATTTTATGCTTTTAGTTTACAGTAATAAAACGAAATGAACTTTGATCAAGTAAATATACCAGGAAAACTGTTGCCGGCAAACTATTTACAGCTAGGACTGGCAGCCCAACGGAGTAAGCAGCGCAGTTTCAAGGAGCTTCTTGAAAAGGTAAACAGACCCAAGTTCAAGTAAAGTAATTATGGGATAATTACTTTTCTCTAGAGAAAACTGCCGGTAAATGGTTGGCCCGATGTGCAAATTGAGGAGCTGGTTCATAAGCTGGCGACCTTGGACAGCAACAACTTCCCGCATAAGGTCGGAATGGGCGAACGGGAGGCGCGAATAGCTTGCAGTGAGTTAGTTTCTGAGTAATCAGATCCTTGAGGCAATTTTAAGGTTTAGCTGAAAGACGTACCTTTATTCCTCATATCAGTTGACATATGAAGCCTCTCCTATTATATAAAAGTTTAAGGCTGAATGCAATGTTTTCTAAAATCTTATCTCAAAAAGAACTCGTAGCCCGGCGGCACTATAACTTCGGTCACGGAATTGGTCGCTCTGGAGATTTACTAGAGGCGCAGCCGAAGGCAGCTGGCTCCACGCTGCTCGCCCGCCTCACAAATGCCCTGATCCTGGATTTAATGCGGGGAATCGGCCTGCCCAGTTGTGCCGGCTGCTTCTTGGTGCCGATGTGCACCGGCATGACAATAAGCCTGTGCTTGCTGACCCTAAGCAAGCGGCGACCCGGGGCGAAGTACGTGCTCTGGTCCCGTATCGATCAAAAGTCCTGCTTTAAGGCTATCACAGCGGCGGGATTGGTGCCAGTAATCATCCCCTGCCAGGTTCAAGACGATGCTCTACACACCAACATTACTTCATTCGGGGAGAAAATCAAGGTTTTGGGTGTTCAAAACATTCTTTGCCTGTACACAACCACCAGTTGCTTTGCCCCCCGCAACAGCGATGACATTTACGAAGTATCCAAGCTGTCACAGCAGTGGGGAATTCCCCATTTGGTCAACAATGCTTACGGATTGCAGTCGGCAGACATCGTTCGTCAGTTGGAGCGGATTCACCGAGTCGGACGCATTGATTACTTCGTTCAAAGCACCGACAAGAATCTTCTGGTGCCCGTGGGCGGTGCCATTGTGGCCAGCTTCGATGAGAGCCTGCTCCATAATGTTGCCAACAGTTACCCGGGTAGAGCCAGTGGTTCCCAGTCCCTGGACGTGTTGATGACGCTGCTCTCGCTGGGACTCAACGGATTTCAATCCCTCATTCAGCAGCAAAACGAAAATTTTATATACCTAAAAGAGAACCTTAAGAAATTCGCAAAGAGTCATGGTGAAGTAGTGATCGAAACCAGGCTTAACTTTATTTCCTTGGCAATAACACTGAGTACAATTGCTGCGGATCAGATGGAAAGCATTACCCAGCTTGGATCCATGCTGCACCAGCGTGGAGTGTCTGGGACAAGAGTAGTGGTTCCCGGGCAAATAAAAACCATCGATGGACATGAGTTTTTGGGTAAGTAAAAGGAAATACAAATTGATTGTGTAAACAAATTGAATAATTTTTTCGTTCAGATTTCGGCTCCCATCGGAACGATCTTAAGGTGCCTTATTTAACTGTGGCGTCTGCATTGGGAACAACTCGAAATGAGATCGACAAGTTTTTTGATATCTTTTCAAAGTGCTGGATCCAGCTAGGTCAACATAAAAATGATAACCAAAACTTTAACCTACCAAAGTCAACCGACAATGAATTGCATTAATTAGGTACATATGTATGTAACAGCTATTATCAACGGAAAAAGCCAGGATCCCACATTGTATATTCAAATTACAATACAAATAATTTCAGAACCTTAGGACGGCGATGTGATTTAAAATTAACCGTGGAAAGACGAAGTTTGCACCACGTTAAAACAATATCGTATAATATGTATTTAAATATAAATTTCGATCATTATGCAAATGCATTTTAAAAGTTAAATCAGATCAAACAATCAAAACTCAAGAATGTATAGCGACCTATATTTATTAAACAGTTTGGCAGATCATGCAATAACGATAATTCACTAACGAATATACATCTATCTTCCCTAGCTTTTGCTTATGCCACTGCCCTTGATATTACTGTTGGAGCTGCTGGTCGGCTTGTTGCTGCTATTGCTCGGCACGTTTTCCTTGTCGCGGTGCCTTTCGCGACTGCGCCGCTCCAGGTGCTGATTCATGGTCGTTTCGATCTTTGCCAGCGACAGCTCGTACTCATGTTTAATGCGCTCGTACTCACGTTTCATGTGCGCTTCCTTGTCGTCGGCATACAACTTGTAATTGTGGGCTGTGCGCTTGGCACTTTGATAGCGCTGCTGGGCGGACCGCATTGCTTCCTCGTGGGTGCTACGCAGCGATTCCAGCTGCTGGCGCCAGTGCTGCTCCACCTGGTCGACTGACTGACGCTGCTTCTCCCACTGAGCCATCACAGCTTTCATGGATTGTCTTTCCGAATCAATGCTGGCGTGCTGCTCCTTCACTTCGCGAAGTAGTTCGGCGATTCGCTGGTTTTTCGCTTGCAGCTCCTGGCGGCATTTCTGCAGCATTCCCTTCTGTTTTTCCTCCTTGCCGGCCAGGATTTCGTCTATGTTTTCGCGTTCTGCCAGGATGGTTTGCTTAAGTAGATCCACCTCCGTTTGGCGATGCTGCAGTTCTGCGCAAACCGCTTGGTACTCTCTTTGGAGGCACTGGCTCCGCTCTTCGGTTTGTTGCAGACGGTTAGTGAACTTTTTGAGTTCGGCTGCAAAAAGTTTGGCCATTTCATCGCGAACACGCTGTTCGATCACCTTAATCCGCTCCTGAGTTAGCTCTTTCGGAGAAGAGCTAGAAGGCGAATCTAAATTTGATTTGGGACTGGGCGTTGTCTTCCTCTGATGCTGCTGCCTTTGGTTCTCTTCCTGTTGTACAATGTACGCCTCGAAGTGTTTGGCCTTTTCCTTAAGGTCGTTAATAAGTTCGTCCTGCTTGATCGAAAGCTCGATCTTATCCTGCATCTCAGCCTGGAGCTGCTTGGACTGTTCCAGTTCGTTCTCCAATCCCCTGAGCTCCTTGGCCTGCATTGAGTTTATGTTTTGAAGCTTTAACATTCGGATTTCCAACTAAAAATTAAAGAATATTGAAGATTTGTTATTTTACTTATGTATGTGACAAAGAACGGCTTTTCTTTCTTACCTTGGTAATCTCTGCCAGGTTTTCAATACACTTGGTGCAATTATCGGAGGTCTCTTTGGCCGCAGCATTGGCCTCATCACGCTTCTCCCGCTCGCTTTTTTGGCGTAGAGTTTGTAAATCACGCTCGTGTCCGAGCTTCTCCGATTCCAGGAGCTTACTAAACTCTTGGGACTTGAGCTCCGCCAGCTGTAAATTCCGCTGGGCAGTGGCCAAAAGTTGGCGTTGTTCCTGCAATTCTATGAGCGTGTCCGATTCCCGTAGCTTTCTTAGTTCGTAATCTAACGACTCCTTGTCGGTGGCGATGTCAGCATACAGTTTCTTGAGACGCTCCACCTCGCTTTGGGAATCTTTCAAAAGTATCTTGTGGCGTTCTAGGTCCAAACGTAGGTTGTCTGCGGTTGCTCGTGTTCGCAACTGCCGATTATCCTGCGTAAGATGCTCGTAGTTTTGCTGAAGGCTGTCGTGTTGCTGCCTTAATTGCTCTAAATCTTTTTTCACATTTCTTAGTTCCTCTTCGATCTGCTGGCGTTTTTCCTTCAGTGAATCCCTCTCGGCGACCATGGCATCCAATTGGGCCTGCAGACCTGACTCCTGCAGTGGTTTGTGTTGCAGCTCTTCCAGTTCTTGTTGCATGGCTTTCACCTTGTTTTCCAGGCGCATTTTGTCTTCTTTTAGGGTTGCTAGTTGTACTAGGGATTGATTCTCCTGTTCGCGCAGCACGCGCAGTTCCTGATTTCGCTCTTCCAATTGCTTTTCAAGGCGCCTTACCTCCTCCCGCTTGCTCTTCAGATTGGCCAGCGCCCGATACAGCTCCTGCTTGATGTGGCTAACCCTATCTAAGGGATTTAGGGGTGTGCTCCCCACAAGTCGGGATCCACCCACTTGACTTAGCCTTCCCGTGGGAGATTCATCCGCATGATGCTGTTGAAGAAGCGAGTCCATTAGGTCAAGCTCCGCTGTAGTTTCGTTCACTCGATCATTAAGCAAGGCAAGCGTTTGCTCCAGGGAGGCTATGCGGGCTTTTAAGTCACAGATGTATTGTTGCTGGCGATGATTCTCCGCTTCCAGCTCAGGCCTGCTGTTTATCTGATTGCAGCGCATCTGAGCAACGTCCAGAGCTTCGCTCAGCTCGTTTATCTTCGCGACCTTGTCTAGAATCATGGATTCATGGCCCATCTGCAGGGCATTGTACCGCGAGGTCATCTGCTCCAACTCGTTTTTTTTGCGGTCCAACTGATCCGTCAATTGGTTAAGTTGTTGATTGAAAAGATCGCACTGTCCTCGATGGGCGTCTTCAATGCGTTTGACTCGCAGTTCAGCGTTGCGCTCCTCCCGTTTGTGCGTATCCCGCTGCACCATGTCATACTTGGACTGGACGTCGGACAGCAAAGTTCTGGTAATCTCCAGCTGGCCTACCAGCCGCGTGTTAATCTCCTCCAGTTGCTTCTTTTCTAAGCGCAGCTTCTCTAGGTCGCTGTCTTTGTTGGAGCAACTTTCTTTGGTCTCCACCAGCAGCTCATGTGTATTCTGCTTCTCACGTCGGGCCCGCTCCAGCTCGGCCTGCGTAATGGAGAGGCGTTTTTTGATCTCATCGAGTTCCTTGTGCTTATCGTTGGCGATCTGGTTGATAGTTTGCAATTCGTTGTCCTTGGATTTTAGCATCATCTGGAGGCGGTAAAATTCATTAGCTTGCTGGGGATCCTCCTGCAGTGGTTCCTGGAGCGGATGGGTCGGGTAGCTGGGCGGGAGAGCCGGAGAATGTTCCGACTGGTAATTCGTTGTCGAGTCGATCGTGTTCTCCTCATCGTGCAGGTCGCCAAACGCATTTTCCAATAGCTGCCCCAGCTGGCGTATAAATGGCGTCAGTGACATTATTTACCAGGATTTCCCAGACTATTTACCTCTTCTTCGTGTCTTTTTTGATCCTGCAGCACTTCTTCCTCCTCCAGGCGGTCCAGTGTGGAGTTCACATTGAGGGTGTCAGCCCCCTGAAACAGGCTGATGCCCGGCGTATTCATATCCGTCTAATGCGACACCGAATGTGTATTTTCCGGTGCGGCAAATTCAAATTTATTTTCGAAGCGCAGGCGCTAATTTTTTAATCAAATCTACTTTTTCTGCTTCAATTGAATAAATGCCCTAACGCCTTTGACGTTAACATAGCCACGGGGGCTGTTAGGCGCAATATTGTTTGCTGTTAAGTAACTGTTAAGTATTAATGAGCTACTATTTTGGGATTATGATTATCTTGAAAAATTCACATTTCAAAATATTGAATTCTTTAATTAACAACATCTATTTAGTTCTAAATTTAACATTTCTAATATAATATAACAGTAATAGGCTAGGAGCAGTAATTAGTAACTTGTTATATTAGAAAAAACGACGAAAAATTTGAAATATTTTGTTATTGCAAAAAGGGTTTAAATACTAAATTATTTAACAAATTTAAGTAAATTACTATAAATACCAATTAGTTTATTGCTTAATTAGACAACATTAGTTTTAAACTTAGGCGCTCACTGCGCGTTCTTTCTAAAACTATTTATCTGATTAGTTAACGCATTCTGATTAAAATCAAAAAATATGAAAAAGTAGTAATATTTTCAAAAATATATTTTCAGTATAGCATAATTTAAATATCAAAAATACCAAATTTGAGTTCATTTAAAACTAGAAAATAAGTTATCTTTGTTTTAAAACTCATAGTCCTTTTATTATTTTCGATTCTAATTTTATAAAAAAAAAATTATAGAAAAGTTATATCTTCAGTTATATGCGTATATGTCGACATATGTAGTTAGTATAGTTAATCAACTCATTGTTCCTGCTGAGGTCGACGAAACTGGTACTTCCTTTTAATAACGTAAAAGCGTCAGTACCAATAATGCCTATTTCAGGCGGTACAATACGAAAGCCTTATGCAATTTTTGGTATTGCCCAGACTGAAAACATATTAATCTCACGCTTGATGATTTAAAACCCTACTTAAGTAATAGCTTAAATGTTTCAGCCACTCAGTTGTTGTCACTAAGTTTCACTTAAAGCAAGTGAGATTTATCCAATATTTTAAGACTTTCCATTCTGACACACTTTCGACAGAGCCCTTTATCCATCCTTTTCACTTAACCATTTAAAACTTAAACGTTTTCTTTTAGACCCATAACACGAGATTAATCACTTTCGGCCTATACTGATACACTATCAATACCTACGCAGCTTTTAGGTAAATAAAATAAATAAATCGTGTTTGGTTTATCATTACACGATCAAACATACTTGCTTTTATTGAAACTTGGTTTAATCGTCTGTGTCTGAGAGATAATATTGAGATCTTGGCAGTCCGCATTTTTCTAAACGAGGTTTTTTTTTACATTTCTTACTCATACATAGCAAAACGATTTGTCATTATTATTTACATGTAACATCTATCGGCAGTCCTATCCTTATAAGTTCGTTCTTTCTATAAATCAAGTCAAGTCATAGGGCAAGCTCCTCCTGTATCAACCCCTGAGGATCTTGATCATCATACACATGAGATTATTTTTGAAAAGCCCAGTTTTTCTTTGCCTTTATCAAGAGCTAAGTTCGAATCGTTTAATTAGAAAACACTAACGTTGAACAAACAAATGAATGGAAACTGATTAATCACTTCTTGACACGGATGCTGAAATTTCCTCATAACTTCTACAGTTTGCTCGACCGTGACATTCTGCTGTGGGATCCCGAAACCCCCCTTTGTACAATGGCCGATTCTCTTATTTACAGAACATTTAAAATATAAGAGGTCAGATCAACAGTCGACTATTCGAGCTTCTTAGTCGCCAAGTCAGACTTTTGCATAATTGTTGTAGGAATTTATTTATGCAATTTTGCTCACAGTTACAACATCTATGTTATTCAATAATGTCCCAATCCTAGCAATCTTTCTTAATAATAAATAATATATAATTTAATTTATAAGAAAAATAGCCTCATTACTAGACTCTAGTACCTATTATGATGAGTGCTCATACGGTTTTGAAGTGAAAAATCTGTATGCACATTATTAACAGACTCGCAAATCCGGTTTAAAAATATGGTGTAATCGACTTTAATCCTGGTGCGTCAGTAATGACTTTAACTAAAACAATTCAAAATGTAATGTATGTGACTTTATAGTTCTGGCACATTGGTATCACATTATTTTCTTGTCTCAAAGGTTGGTCTAAAAAGTTCACGACCCTTACAGCAATTAAATTCGTTTTTATCTCGCTTGTTCGCCCTTTAGCCGAATTCTGTTCTGTGTATGGTCGCCTCAAAATGCGGAGTATCATTATTATAGTGAATCAGTAAATTTCCCCTGTTTGCTTTAAGGGGACTGTCAGACTACATCAATAGACTTTTTCTTCTGGTCTTAATTTGACATATAATCAAAATTCATAATTTGGACTTTTAAAGCCCGTTTCGGATTTTATGTTCGCATCTGAACAACGTGCTATCTTCGGGATCGTCTGTATCTATAAATGTATCAGCGGACCCACTCATTTTCCTTGGATCAATGACCACCTCCCGACGGCCATTGATTTTGCTGTGTACAAAGGCATCCCGTGCAACCACCTTACAATCTCAGAGTGCCCGGGACTTTCCTCTGATCATATTCCGCTCCTGATATATTTTTGCGTGGCTGCCTATACGATCGTTACCAAATCCAGGCTTCTTCCCCGGGGCTCGGATCTTAAAAGATTCAGTGCGCAACTTACTGCTCTGACTCTGGAGCAACCTTCTCTTCTTTCTGTGGACGACGTAGATTCCTTTGTTGAGGTCTTAGTTGAACAGATCCATCAAGCTGCGCCTCCTCCTAGAAGTATACATATTCCTCCTCCATCTTGGGCTTATTCAAAGCCGGAAATTGCTGCCTTGGCCAGAAAGGGTCATGCACTTTGCCGTGTCTGGATGAGGACGAGGCATACCATCGATATGGCAAGGTGGAAGGCTACTGTATCAGAGCTAAGGAAAGTCCTCCGTTCGGCCAAGTCAGAATTTTTTATAGACAAGCTCAGTGCAATTGATCCTAACCAGAATTACGGATTTGCGCTCTGGAAATGCACCCGCAACCTTAAAAGACAGCCGCTTCAGAGGTTTTCCCTTAAACGTGGTGATGGGACTTGACCCACAGTGATTCCGAGATTGCTGAAGTATTTGCTGATGATCTTGAAAATCGCTTTACTCCATTTGAATTTGCAACAAGCGAAGAAGTCCAGACAACAATCTCTAGGTTAGGACTTTCATTTGGTCCTCCTGTTACTGTCCGTCCAGTAGACGAAGATGAGGTACGTGGTCATATAAAGCGACTGGTTACTACTAAAGCTCCTGGCATGGACGCGATTGATGGCAAAGTAGCAAAGGCTCTGCCTAGCTCTGTCATTGCACAGCTCTGTCTCCTCTTTAATGCTTGCCTGGACCTTGGTTATTTTCCATCACCTTGGAAACGAGCATTAGTCACAATGATGGCAAAAAAAGGAAAAGACCCATGTTGCCCGGAATCTTATAGGCCGATTAGTTTGCTGTCCACTTTCTCAAAGATTTTTGAGCGGATCATGCTTGGTAGACTTCTAGCTATTAACGCCTTTGAAGACGCACTTCCGAACCACCAGTTTGGTTTCCGTAGTCGCCATAGTGCTATCGAGCAAGTGCACAGAGTAATTAACCATGTCCTGGGGGCTTTCGAAGACCACAAATACTGCTCAGCCGTTTTTCTCGATGTTCGACAGGCCTTTGACAGGGTTTGGCAGGAAGGACTGTTCTACAAGCTAATGCCGCTTTTGCCTGAAAGGCTCTGGAATCTCGTTGTATCGTTCTTAGATAATAGGGAGTTTGCTGTAGACATTCGTGGACACCGTTCTGGACTTCGCCCAATTCGTGCTGGTGTCCCGCAGGGAAGCGTCCTTGGTCCGGTCCTCTATACAATTTACACTTCGGATCTTCCAAACCCAGTTGCTCGTGATACACTCCTGGCCACATATGCAGATGACACTGCATTTCTTGCAGTTGGTAGCACCACTACATCTGCGTCCCGACGCGTCCAGACATTCTTAGACGAATTTGAGTGCTGGGCCTGTCGATGGAACATTGCGCTTAATGTTGACAAAACGCAACATGCCACTTTTGCTCTCCGCCCTGGCCGTTCGCGTAGCCTTTACATTGATGGGAATAGGCTCAAGCACGAAGATAAGGTGACGTACCTCGGAGTTACCTTAGACCGTCGCCTTTGTTGGAAGGGACAAATTGATCGAGTTTGTGGATCAGCAAGAACAAAACTTGACAAAATGGACTGGCTCCTTCGTCCAGGCAGCGGCCTTTCCCTTGAAGCTAAGGTGCGGCTTTTTAAGGCCATTGTCCTTCCAACTTTAAATTGGGGAATCACTTGCTGGGGCACGGCTTGTGATTCGTCACTAAAAAGGGTGCAAACATGCATTACAAAGGCTCTCAGGACGATGCTAGGGGTGAAGTGGCACCATTATGTAGAAAACCGAGTTCCAGGACACGGGAGTGCCGACGGTAACGGAGACGATTTCCAAATCCTCAAGTCGATATCGGGAACGTTTGCTCACACATGCAAACTGTCTGGCAAGACATCTTGTCGACGGCGTCTCCGCAGACGACACCCGGCAGACTTATGGATTCTCGGCCGTGACAGACACGGTCGTCTTCTGTAATAACACATCTTGATTAACTTTTGACCGGCTATGACCACACCTGATTTGCTCAAGAATGGAGCTCCCGTTACCCGCTTTTTTTGGGATCTTTAGAAATAATTCGTCAATACATGAAAACAAGGTCCATCCTTGTGCAGCGTGTTCAACAAACTATATATAAAAACGAGGACGGAAGCTAACTTCGGCAAGCCGAAGTTTTAATACCCTTGCAGACTTTGCCGAAATTGCTAAAAGTGAAAAAATAGCGAAAGGAATAAGGTATACATAAGCAAACTAGATTTGCATCGTTTCAAGTTAATTGCTTTTATAGTGCAAAAACGTCATATACAAATAGAAAAAAAGGGATACTTTCGCAGCCTTAAACAATTTTTCCTATCTCCTTTAAGATATAGACTTCCGAGCGGCAAGCGCTTTTACCCTAATCAAGATATGCGT